TCAGGACACTGCAAACAGCTCCAGAGGGATTTTTTATATAATTCCTGTTTTTTTGTTTTTTTAAATTCTTTTATTTTTGGCGTGTCGTTACAGTACATTTTGGTGGGTATAGATGCATAGCATAGTACACACATGGCACATTCGAGTACAAGAATACATTGTGTAGTGCGGTTCGTACATTATTATCTACGTTGTCACAAGCTGAGATGTACTGTTGTTGGCGTTACATTTTGACATTAACACATTAAACCATTAACCAATTAACTGAGCAGAGGAGCGGGGGCCCCAGCCCGACGCCTCGTCGGTTTTGGTCGCTTTCAGCTTGTGGTGAATGGCGTCGACCCGCAGCACCAGCCCCCCCGACAGCACGTAAGAAAGAAGAGTAGTGGATAGGGGGGGGGCAGAGATCGGAGTTTTGCCCGGGGTTGACCAGGGGCGGCAATGCCTTCTGCCCCGCTCTAGGTTCAGTCGTCTCTATCCGTGGCCTTCCAGGGTTCCCACATCCTTTCATATGCTTTTATGGTACCTCTCACCAGTGCCGTGAGGTGGTCCATGACTTGGATGTCTCTTGTTTTGTGTTTCACCATACAGATCTGTGGGATGTCGGGTTTAAGCCATGCCTGTGCCATAGTGAGCTTAGCTGCCAGGGTGATTTTACGTAGGAGTTTTTGATCCCGTCCTGTCCAGTCATCCATTGGTCTGGATAACAGGCACACCCATGGGTCTATGCCTACCCTCCTCTGGAACACTCTGTCTAGTAGGCTCCCCACTTCCCTCCAGAAGGTCTTTGCCTTCGGGCAGTCCCACCACATGTGCTTATACGTTCCTTTGTGTCCGCAGCCCCTCCAGCACAGGTCGTCTGGGATTTTGTGTATGTGGTGTAGCTTCACTGGGTTTTGTACGCCTGTTCCATATGGAGGTGGTCTTATTTGCCTCCCATATGTCTCTCCAGTCTGTGCCCTCCAGGACCTCTCCCAGATCTGATTCCCACTGGGTTGTGTAATGTGGAGCCCCCCAGTCAGTGTTATTGGAGCTAAGGTGTGCATAAAGTGATGAAATAAGCCCTTTCGGGGGGTTTTCTTTTAGGCACATTTTCTCGAAGCCCGTAGGTGTTGTCTGTGCTGCAGTTTTTGCTAGGTTGTGTTGTGCAAAATCCCTGATCTGGATGTATCGAAAGAAATCTGAGGGTGTTAGCCTGGTCTTTGCTGCCAGGGCTTCAAATGTTGGTAGCTGGTAGCTGGTCGCCCTCGTACTGGTGGATCGCCTACTGTAGGCCCTCCCTCTCTATATTCTTAAAGTCTCTGGCGAGCATTCCTGGTGGGAAAGCCCTGTTTCTCAGGACTGGCATCATGGGGGAGGGTGAGGTAGTCAGTTTGTATTTTAGACCTGTGGCGTCCCAGACCTGTATGGAATTTAGGATTGCGGGGCATTGGGTGCGTAATAGGGCCCTTTGTTCTTTCTGTAGCCAGATATAAAATTGGGGTAGTTCTGCTCCCATAATGCCGGCCTCTAGGTCTGCCCATTGTCAGTCTCCCCGTGCTGAGTGCCACATGGCAATTTGGGCTATCTGGGTCGCGAGGTAGTAGTTGTGGAGATAGGGCAGGCCCAATCCCCCCCCATCCTTGGGTCTATACAAAATATTCCAGGACACCCTGTGCCGTTTGCGCTGCCATATGAAGTCAACTACCTAGATGCCCGCAGGCACCAAAAACCTGCACCCACCAAAACGGTGATTCGACCCTCGGGGAACCCCCCCAGCACAGCAACACCACTCCGACAGCTACCACCCGAGTACCAGGCTTAGGACTCTACACCTGGCAACATGCCTACTTATAATTCTTATGCATTCCTGTTGAGCACTTCAAAGAATGTATTATCTATCATAGTGAATCTATAGTTTTACAAAGGTTTAACTCATCTTTCATTACTCACTAGGCCTTGGAAGTGAAGCAATATTTCCTTGTCTATTAAAGGGCCCTCCAAGGGGTTTCACTCTTTGTTAACTTTTCAACTACACTTACTCACTGCTTATCTAACACTTTCTTACCACATGTTTACTTACATATTCGCGTGGCAGTAAGTCATTGTAATTACCGAGCAAGCTTTCACTAAGATGAATAATCTAGCCTTATACCGAGCATGCATTTCTCTCCTAGGCATGTGTTGGTGTGCAGCTTGTTTATTTTTCCTAAAACTGTACTGATTTCTTGATTTATTCCTATAAAATGAATTATCATAAAAAATGTGCTAATATCACACATGCCATACGTATGTTATACTATGTTTAACCAGCCAAGCTTGTTTATGCTGTTGGGGCAATGCAGGCATCGTTGTACCTATCTGCACAACAAAAATAAAGAATTAAAAAAAAGGATGGGACAAGGACAATACACCCAGACAACTTTATTAAAGGGGTCCTATAGTGCCAGGAAAACAAAGCCGTTAATAGGGCCCCCTCCCTCGTGCCCCCTCTCCCGCGGGGCTGCAAACCCCTTCAGCCACTTACCTGAATCCAGTGCCGATGTCCCTCTGCGCGGGCTCAGGCTCCGCCCACATGTGCGCATTAGACCTCCCTATAGGAAAGCATTGAATAAAGTCTGGCGCTGGAGGTCCAGCGTCAGATAACGGACCAAACGTCCGTTAAGATTCCGGAAGCCCTCTAGTGGCTGTCTGGCAGACTCTGGAACTGCAATGTTTAACATTGAACTAAGTGCAAAAGGGTCACAGCACCCAAGCTACTTCAATGAGCTGAAGTGATCTGGGTGCCTACAGTGTCCCTTTAAAATGTACTGATATGGATAACTAGTGTCCCTTTACTGCATTACATCCCTCAAGTCAAAATATTTGTGGCACACTTTAAAGTGTGTTGAGGAACATTAGTGTGAGGTGCTACAATCACTGCTCTAGGTATACTTGGATACAATTGCAAAACTTTAAAGGTGCCAAGTAGCGTAGCACACAGCTTCATATTGCAGTTGAAGTTGTAACTATGTAAAAACATGCATTGCATTGCAGTGCTCAGGAAAAAAAACATTTATTTTACACATACCTTTTATATTTCTCTGTTCTCTAAAGTAATGTATTTCTAGGCAGGTAGCCAGTTTATTTTAATCATGTCGCTGTATTTGAAGTGTAGGAATTTGTGTACGTTACCCAATCATGTTTTATTCATTAAACAGTAATTAAGCAAAATTAGTTACAATGAAAAAGTTGTCTCAAAACAGTTATATTTAGTATGACTTTTAAAATCCTAGTATCATCTTGCTGTAACTTACCATATAGTGATTAAACATAGAATGTGACGGCAGATAAGAGCCATTCGCCCCATCTAGTCTGCCCAATTTTCTTTATACTTACAGTAGTCTCTTATATCTAGGATAACCTTATGCCTATCCCACGCATGCTTAAACTAACCTCTGCCACTTTCCATGCATCCACTACCCTCTCAGTAAAGAAATACTTCCGGATATTATTTTTAAACCATTGCCCCTCTGATTTAAGACTATGTCCTCTTGTTGTGGTAGTTTTTCTTCTTTTAAATATTAGTCTCCTCCTTTACTGTTTTGATTCCCTTTATATATTTAAATGTTTCTATCATATCCCCCTGTCTCGTCTTTCCTCCTAGTAAGTTTTATCCTGCAATCCATTAACCAGTATAGTAGCCATTCTCTGAACTCTCTCTAAGGTATCAATATCCTTCTGACGATACGGTCTCCAGTACTGCGTACAATACTCCAGGTGAGGTCTCACCAGTGTTCTGTACAATGGCATGAGCACTTCCCTCTTTCTACTGCTAATACCTCTCCCTATACAACCAAGAATTCTCCTAGCAATTCCTGTAGCTCTATTACATTGTCTGCCTACCTTTTAGTCATCAGAAATAATTACTCCTAAATCCCTTTCCTTAGATGTTGAGGTTAAGACTCCATCAAATATTTTATCCTCTGCCCTTTAGAGTATTCACGCCCAAGTATCTTGCACTTATCTACAGTAAATGTTAGTTCTCACAGCTCTGACCATGTTTCTAGTGTGTAAGTAAATGAAGATCAGGGAAATGCAAAAATGTAAAAAAATAATTTTTTCTCAGTATATATTATGGAGGAAGCCACGGTAACAAATATGCAAATGATTGCTGCAAAAAAACTTGCAGACAATTTTGATTGGATTACACAAAACAAGGTGTTACAGCAACTGAATAAAGTTAATGTAAACAAAGCCCTGGGTCCTGATGGTATTCACCCATGAGTATTTAAAGGGACACTATAGTCACCTGAACAGCTTCAGCTTAATGGGGTTGTTCAGGTCAGTACAATAGTTCCCTGCAGGCTTTTTCAAGTAAATACTGTATTTTCTGATAAAATACAGTGTTTGCCTTAGAATATAGGAACACCTCCAGTGGCAGTCATTAAGTCTTCCGAGTCAAGTTCTGCCTGAAGTGCAGGACTCACGTTTGACATCTTCACGCTTAGCTGAAGACATCAAACATGCTATCAGGACACAGGAGGCACAGTGGATGCACCTCCTGTGTCCTGTAGTAACCCCAGAGGCTGTCAGCAGTCAGAGCCGACAGTGTTTGGAGCTAAAGACCTCCTGCACACAGCCTCGGCTTGGGCTGACAGGCTGAAGGCAGGAGATCGGAGACACAGCATGAGGATCCAAACCGTAAGTACACTTATTTTAAAAATGAGTGAGTGAAAGTGAGTGAGAGAGTATGTGTGAGTGACTGAAAGTGAGATAGTGAGTGAGAGTGAAAGTGAGTGAGAGAGTATGTGTGAGTGACTGAAAGTGAGATAGTGAGTGAGAGTGAAAGTGAGTAACTGAAAGTGAGATAGTGTAAGTGAGAGTGAGTAAAAGTGAGAATGTGAGAGAGTGAGTAAAAGTGTGAGCGAGTGACTGTGGGTCAGATAGAAATAGTGAGATAGAAGTAGATAGATAGAAGTAGATAGATGAAAATAGATAGATAACAGTAGATAGAGAGAGATAGATAGATAGAAGTAGATATATAGAGATATATAGATATAAATAGATAGTGTGACAAACTCCTCTTTCCAAGTGAGTTTGCCACTAGTTCCTGGACGAGCCTGCTTGCCAGCCTCCTGCCCACAGACTATGGACCCTGTAAAATGTGATGTAAAAGTCTCCCGGAGCTTGGTAAGACTAATTGATACTTTGCAGCAATTTCCACCGCAGAGTTCCAATCGTCTGGGTGGCTGCAATTCCTGTGGACACCCACGAGGTGGCGGCCATCTTGTTCGCATTAACACAGGCAGCGGTGTTTGGTCGTCAAGTTCATGGAACTATTTTCAGACACTGAAACTCCCGAACACCGCTGGACTTCCATGATCGCCTGGGTTCGGCTCTACAACACTTAGAAAGGTGCTGTTCGGTGGAAAGCTCCAGGGTAAGAACATTGACTATGTTCGGTAGTTTGTTTGGTTTTTAAACTACCAAACTAGACTGACCACAAGCCCCGATTCTCTGGAACTGTTTTGGGCATGGGACCGTGCGTGCGTGCGGTCGGTCAAATTATGACTTCCAGGAAATTCCTGAACCGATCTGGGTGGTTTTTGGATAAGTTGATCACCCAGATTGGGGCCATCAGGGGATGTAACTTGTGTGGGGTTTTATGTATTTTTAAGGTACTTTTGGGGTGTTTGGGAAATGTGTTTTTTGTACTTGGGGTTACTTGAGTTTAATACAGTACTTGACTCAATTATCTCCCAGGCACAGGGGAGGGATTATCTTTTTATGTATGGGAATGTCCTGGATCTGAGAGCCAATGTAAATGTGTATTTGTTTCTACTGTGGTTCAATCTCAGGTCCAGGGTGAAGTGCCCCTTGCATGGGGACCTGCATATAAGGCCAGTTGTGGCTGCCAATAAAAACATTCCACTATGTGTCGTCTGGTTACTGGGAGGGGAAAGGGCTACTCTTTAATCACTGTTCCAGTGTGGAGGATTCAACTGGGAAAGTCCTTGTTAGGACTAGAGCTCCCAGGACTGAGTGTTTTCCAGTTCCTGGGGGTGTCTAGAGCAAATTCCCCATTCGGCTCCAGGAGGGAGCAGTTCCAGGACCCCAGTCAAGTCATGGTGACTGTCGGCAGAAGTGCTGTGGTTTGTCCCCTGTTCCAGCTAGGAAGTGGTCCTTGGTGGAGGTACCCAACCAGGGGTACAGGGAGCTCCGTTACAGATAGATAGACATAAATAGAAAGACAGAAAGATATATATAGATGGAGAGAGAAATAGAAAGATAGAAGTCAATAGAGATAGCTAGAAATAGATAGTGCTGCTTCAATGCCGCTCTATGAAGAACGTGATTGGTGCAGAGCGAAGCCGCGCATGCGCACCAGACAGCTATGATGCTTCTCTAAGAGATTTTGATTAAAAAGGGGGCGTGGCCTGCCGAGGATTTCGCAGAATAGAGGTAAGTTTTAATGATAAAAAGCACTCAAATTGAATTTTTTTTTTTTTAATGGCAAACTAATAAAAAACGCAAGAAAGAAGGCTAGGGGACCTGTCTTTCTTGCTTTTATAGTTTGACTATAGTGCTCCTGTAAGGAGCTAAGTGTGAAAATAAGTGAACCTTTGTTTTCAATCTTACAAGTTACTTTTTTTCCCATTAATTCTACAGGCGGATTGGAGAAAGGCAGATATGGTTCCTATATTCAAAAAGAGTTCAAAACCTTTGCATAAAAATTATAGACCTATGAGCTTTTGTGGCTAGGAAAGTATTGGAAGTGTTATTAAGAGATGATTTTCAAGAATTCATTGGTAAGAACATAGCAAGCTAGTAGCAAAAATCATCATAGTTTTTGAAATATAGGTCATGTCAAAGTAACCTAATTGCACTTTATGAAGAAATATAGATCAGGGTGTTGCAGGGGATGTGAGCTACATGGATTTTTTTCAAGGTGTTCGATAGTTCCACACATTAGGCTAGTGTTTAAACTAAAATAAATTTGTCTAGATGGAAATTCATGTTCTTGATTATAACATTGGTTAAAGATAGAGTACACAGAGTTGTCATTAATGATACATTTTCATGCTGGACAAAAGTGGAAAGTGGTGTCACTTCTAATCAGCATACTTTTAAATGGCCTTGAAATAGGCATAATATCCTGCTTACATCGTATTAACTTACCTAGTTTTGAGTCATCTACAAAGGGACTTCAATAGAACAGGGGATCTGGCACTCAAATGGCAGATGAAATTTGATGCAGAAAAATGCAAAATTATGCACTTCATTTGGGTGAAGAATACACAAGCAACTTAAAGCCTAAATGGTAGTGAATTAGGGAGAACAACAGATGAGAAGGATTTAGGAATTGTTATAGACAACAAACTACACAACAATGTGCAGTGTAAATCAGCAACAAGGGATTGTCATGCATAAAAAAGGGGCATTAATTCTCCATAAATATATATTTTTGCCTCCTTATAAATCAAGACCACACGTTGTAATATGTTGTGCAATTTTGGGCACCTGTTCTAAAAAAAGGATATCGTAGCACAAGAAAAAGTGCAGAGGCAGGCTACAAAATACCTAAATGAAATGTAAGATTTTATTTAGAAAGAAACTTTAACAAATTCAAACCGCTCTATTTTAGAAAAACAGCACTGGATGAATGCTTGCAAAAACAGAAGATTCGGGGATATCATTTTTATTATGTGGGGTAACAGCTTCTTCGACCAAGGAGAGATCAGACTGCCATTCTGGCGCTGAGAAGGATTTTCCCCCTAGTTTGTAGCAAAATTGGAAAGTGCATCAAACTGGATTTTTTAGATCAACAGCAAAAACAGATGTAAGTAAGGCTGAACTTGATTAAGGCAAGTCTCTCTTCAGTCTATGTAACTACTAAGATTCAATCAGGAAACAACAGGACACAGATTTAGATTTTTTTTTTGGAGTGTTGTCATTTATTGCAAATACTATTTCACATTGCTTGTGTACAATGACCTGTTAGAACAGTCTCCTTCATTTTAGTCCAGTTACAAAATACACAACATACAATCAGAGACAGGAATAAGTGTAAACGTTAACACCTTACGGTGTAGTCCCACAGATCCACACACGCGCGTACGGACATACTAACAAAACGCATTCTACACCAAAGGATTGCACTTCAAATTATAAAGAAAAAAAACTGAAAAAAAGAGACAAGGCAGGTAATTTTCTTCGCGTTCCACATTTATAGTGTTCTGATTTACAGGTAAGGCTACCTTGTGCAACAGGTGGCTCTTCAGTTATTGGTGAACTACAAGTTCCAGACAGACCAAATATGGACTGCCCTTACGGTAGTTGCTGTAGTTCAGCGGTTCCTGAAAAGTTATCCGTTCATTACCCCAATTTAGACATTACAGCTCTCTCTACGTTAACTACAACTCCAATAATGGTTTGCCTGCCTTTTGGCCTTTGCTTTAGAGGTTTAAATACCTTTGCTTTAGAAGTTTATATACTTGCTCTCCTCTGTCACTAGTAGTGCAGTGATTAGAGACCATTCTTCGTTATTTAATTATTAATTTTGTTATTTTTGTGATCGCCTCAATTTGAGTAAACTGAATAACAAATTTCACACATGAATGTCATATGACCTTGCCTCCTGTCCTTCGGATTTAAATCAGATTGAAATGCATGTGGTGTACAACCTTTGAAACGGTATTGGAACCCACACATTCATTGTAGCAATTTGCCAGCTAAGTGATCAAAGAGTGTTTGCATTTGGCCAAAATATCCACATGTATCACATGATGCTCTGTGCCTCAAAGGGGTACACACCCTCTAAATACAATACAAAATCAGTAAAGAATATATTGTTCATACATAAAACAATAAGATCTGCATGTAAAAATGGTATAAAACCAGGGGTAGGCAACTTTCGGCACGGCAGAGCAACAGCAGAGATGTAGTCCACAACATCTGGAGCACTGAAGTTTGCCTAACTCTGGTGTAACGTCTTATTTGAGATTTATATACCTTGAAATGTTACTATAAGTACCATGACCTCGCTTCAGTGATTTCAAGTGGCCATGGTGCCGGAAGTCAGTCTGTTCAACGTTTTGCTTTGAAACGTTGCACATACTGAGTTTAACTCCTTTGCTGCCATTAGGTGTAACTTCCCCTCAGATAGCGTCCCAGGATGTCATAAACCAGCCTGAAACAAGAGTTCTGGGCTGGTTAATTTCAAATCTGATGCTCTCAGCCAAGGAATAAACGGAAGGATCGACATCTGTAAACCAAGCTTCCCAGAAAACCAGCAGCCTGGCTTGACCAGAATAAGTAAGCAAAATGTTGAAAAACAGGTTGTATTTGTTATGATGGATGGACTAACGCCTTAATGGATTCTCTTATTGGCACAAAGGAAAATTGAAAGAAAAATGTGGATAGCTCCATTCTAGACCTTTGACCCGAACTGTTCTCTCTAAACTATGCAGTTTAAAAAGATACAAAAAGTGTAGTCTACCTCTGGCCTTCCTTTTTCACGCTGTAAGACCTGACAGACTTGCTTTATAGTGATAGACAGGGGATGGTTGTATATTTTCACAGTGGGGAAGAATATATACCACCTCATTCATAAACTAATGCCTCTGCTTCCATAACCAACCACATTGCCATCCCAAAGCTTCCAGTCTATCAACAAGATACATGAATACAGAATCATTTCTAGCCGTATTATTTAAAACTGCCATACAATGGTCTCCCATTAAAAAGGCACATATAAGATCTCATCTGCGTTCACAAAGTGTTACGAGTGAATGCTGTTTTGAGAAGCCTGTTTATTCACATACAAGGTTATGTTAAAAAAACAAAACAACTATTTAGTCATCTATTTTTAAGAAGATTTCTGACCGAGTAAGACTACTGTCCTCTTTTGGGTATAACTAAAGACAAAGTATACTGGATTTTAAGGATAATTTAATTTATTTTACAGATAGTATTTTTTTTCATTTTTTTTTTTGTTAACAACGAGACTCCGTAACTAGGGAATTGTGGAGAAACTGACAGAGAAAAAAAATTCAGCCCAAAACAACAAGTTGTCGCAATTCAATGTTTTGCCTCAAATGTGTTCAGTTTAGAAAATGCTGAAATCCTCATGGGATGGTCAGAATTAGTGACATGGTTGCACATGTTTTAAGTATTGGCATGTATTACAAAAGAGTTTAACCCCTTAAGGACACATGGCCTGTGTGACATGTCATGATTCCTTTTTATTCCAGAAGTTTGGTCCTTAAGGGGTTAATGTATAGCAGGGATAGGGAAATTGCAGTCTCTTGGGTATTTTGGGTATTTAGCTCCCAAAATGCTCTACAAGACTATATGTGGCACATTCTAGGGGTTAGTACAAAAATTTGCAGGGGAGCAAACATTTGTGTATAGGATAAAATTATATTGCAACAATAGTTATCCGAGACAAGATAGTGTTGCCTAACTCGTTACATCATCACTGCTGGACCAATTCTCCAAACATGATCCTATGATATATTACGGAAAGTGTCAACTCAAGTATATGTAATGAAAGTTGAAGCACAGGGTCCCAGCATTTTCTCCACTCTCTATCACTCTATTACTGCTATAGCAGAAATACGTTTGGTATAGCCTACTGGAAATAGGTCTGAATCTACAAAGCTAAGCCAAGAACTACAAGTTCCATAATGCAATGCTCAGGGTATAGCTAAGCATTACCCTTCTAACATAATTCCCTGCTGAACTGATTGGCACTTGTGAGAAGGGAGCTTAAGATTCAAGCTATGGCAGGTAAACATGTTGAGAATTGAATTCTGTGTAAACTCTAGATCCTATCCTCCTCCTGTGCATACTGGAAAAACAAAATTGATATTTTTGGCCACGTTTCCATGAAAAAAAAAAAAAAAGTCTCAAGGACTGGAGGAAAGGAGAATTTAAGGCGCAACAAGTTATAGGTGGAACATTATACATTCTGGAAGCTGAAGTCCAGTCTCAGGGAAACATTGTACCTGGTTGCATGTAATGCAAATTAAAGGTAGAATGTTCTTCTCTGCAAGAAACAATGGTTTGCTTTGTAAACAAGTTAAAATGTTTTCCAGCAATCAAAATAAGCAGGCGATAAACCCAGGGCAATCTCTTGTTGGAAATTCACTTGTATAAGCAAGAACATTTAACTTTATGATCTGCTAGGATAGACCTTACAGACGTGAAATAAAATTACTGATACATATGGTGGAAGTCTAGAGCAATGGTTCCCAACTCACAGTGCAGAATTTAGGGAGTTCCCAGTTTTGTTCCAGTAGGGATGCTAACAAAACTTGTAACGTTGGTGTGTCTTCAGAACTGAGTTGGCAACCACAGGACTAGAGGAGAAAAACTTGTTTAGGAACAGATATGGATTCTCAAGAAGGTGTGTGGCCCTGGAAGCAGGATTTCACAGCAGCAAACAAACAATTCAAATAACTTCAGTCATGGCTGCTAAGATTCAATAAACTCATGGAATCTAATGTTTTTACAAAACAATGTATTTCATGACAATGTGCACACATTTAAAGGATCCCTATTTGCAACTGTGCTGCTTATTCCAACAGGGCAGAGCAATGTTTGGCTATGTAAATGAAGGCATCAGCTTACAAATGTATTGGTAAAAGCAGTTAGGTCATAGTGACAATTTTCTTGGAAATACCCGTGAACTGGTTTTGCACGTTCACTTGTCACCAGAAAAACTGATAATACCTATTCTTGGTTCTACTAAAAAAAGACGATGAGTTTTTTTTTCTGTATATAATATAAAGATAAGCCGAAGCATGAACCATCTCTTCAACTGCATACATCATGGCGACGATTTGAAACCCTCCAGAGACGCAGACCAATGAGAATCTGCCGCCGGCTACTTGCGAGCCTGTATAATTTTTATTTATTTTTTTGATAATAGGAAAAAGAAATTTAACCCTTTCATTGCTATAACTGCTTGAAATGTATTGAGATAAACTACATGCTGTCCTAGCACTGAGTAGGTTAAATCGTAAAAAAATATATATATGTATATAGGCTAACAGGGATTTTGCGCAGTTTTCACACTATTTACAGTAAACAAAAGGCATCAAGAAAAAGGAAAATTGATCACAGATTAATAAATGTGTAATTTGTCTAGCATCTATTTACAACCAATAAATATTTATAAAGAGAAAAAAAAAGTTAGAAAAAATATTCATTTTGTACATAAAATAACAAAAAAAAAACCTTCCCACGGATGTGACTCACAGCGAGTGATCACAGTCACTGCTGAGGAACGGTTTAAAATGTCAATATGGCCCCCAAATACTTATTTTTCTGACGGCACAATAGATAATCGGTGGTGGGGAATATTTACAAAAAAATTATATATATTATATATATATATATAAATGTACATTTGACGATAACTCATTTAACACTTTTGCTGTCCCATAAAATAAGACATTGGAGAGACAAAAAGTGCTGTTTTCCTCTCTGACCAAGGAAGGTGTAAGGATATTTGATATTTTGTGGTTTTCTTGCAAAAAACTTTAAAAATGAACAGTTTTCCTGTTTTTTTTGTTTGTTTTATTTTTCCGGAGTATCATCTTTGGTGTGGTTTGAAATGCTGGATTGGTATAGGTGAGCGGAGGGGAGATTGGAAAGAGCCAAAGCCAAAATTTGTTTGCCAAATTCCATCTCCGCCACCTCTGTCCTTATGTCTGGCCAAGTTAGCCTGGCGTATATCATCAACCCTGCAGCGATAAAAAGATCTTTAACGCAAAATAATTACAGTTACTTCCAGCTCCATCAGGTTTAAAAAGGCTCCTTTTTTCTTTAAAAAAAAAAAAAAAAAGTGCTTTGAAAGTCCATTGTATAAAACCCACAGAGATCTGTTTCGGTATCCAAAGGTAAGAGAAGTTAACATTTACAGTGATTTCCCTATAGGAGGGAAAGTGGCTTACAAAGAGGCACAACTCCAAGACATTGCCCCTAAAGCCTTAAGTATCTGTATCCTTCATCATCATTGAGAGAGAGCTACAGATTATAATTTTGTTCGAATGTGTAATCACAAGTCTTCAAAGTTTTGATCAGTTCACATCCTATGTTAATACTGGATCCCTGGGGATAGAACAAGCTGTTCATCTTCATTCTTCACTGTCTTTTTGAAAGAAAAGCTCATCTTCTCAACCCCTTCTCTGGAAGGCACCTAAGGCATGGAGGCGAATTCTGGGTCCTGTTGGCATGCTTGAAGACCGGGAAGAGGGAACATGTTGTGTCTCACACACACGGTAACTCCAGTTATGGGAAGAAGATTATAAATCCACTTCTGGTAATTCTTGTAGTTTCCTCTTTCTTCACAGTTAAAGGCGAGAGACAGCTGGAGTGTATAGAATAGTTGCTATGGGCCATGTGGCGTTTGACATTTACACAACCAACGCATTTTGCCTTGGAGTGCAGCTGTAAGTGCTATACTTGAGTCCCTCCAAAATCCTGTTGGGGATACAAGATGCTTCACGTGTCAGAAAATGCCTTTAGCAATCTTGAGTCCCTTCTGCTTCATACGTGGCAAAGTGGAGCTCGAACCATGTTTAATCTTGACTCCTTTAGAGAAGCCGCGTTTTTTCAGCACAAAGTCATAGTTGGCTCCCGAGTTCATGGCATAAAATACATTGGCATTGTCAGGGATCTTCAGTTCTGATGAGGACAAAAGAAATACATCAATAATATATCAGCATATTTTAATTTCACTGGCTCTTATTAAAAACAGATGCATTGAAAACACAAAACATTTCTGATTCAGAATCAGAAACTAGTTAGATTATTGAAGAACAGGTGTATCTTAGTGAAGTTTAGCTATGATCTATTTTCACATACTTTCAGTCTTTGCCCTATTATATGCTTTGTGACAACATTAATACTTGGGGTACAAATTCCGCTGCTTGGCAAATACCTCTTTCCTCAGATATGATTTGAACAAGTTCGTAATCCTCTGAGCGCTCCCCATCTAGATTGTGTTTGGCCATCGCTTTCCTGATTACTACAGGGGTCTTGTCCTGACTCGTTACCTTAAGAGGGGGAAGGAAAAAAAATCATGGAGAACATGAGAACAAGCGTCTGTACAAAAAATGTCAAAGAAGCACAAGAAGACAACAAAAACTAAATGAAAGGTTTACCCCAAGCATCATAACCATAAAGTGAGGAGTATCTTAGCCCGGATCCCCAGTAACAGGGCAAACCGTTTAGCGACGGTTTGCCCTTCATCTGCCTTCCGATTTGCTCTTAGGCTCCTAGCATCCATGGTGATGTGCTATGAGCCTCAGAACACAGCTGCAGAAGCCGATACAATCACTATTCATCGGTGAAGGGCTATGAGCTAATAAATAGCACACTGTGCATGAAAATGTGCACAGAATTTACATTAGCCAGAACTCTTCCTTACAGAATTGATCTGGGCTGGCTATTGATACCCCAAATATGCTGCCGTTACTACACTACTCCGGCAGCAATGGGGTAAAGCTCACTGAAGTAGTCATGATGCTTGGACTAACACTTAAAGAACGACCTGTAAAATGAAGTCTGCCAGTTAAATTGAATATATTAAAAATATTTTTTGTTCAGTGCAGGAGATCTAAAATATGATTATACAAACATGTATCTATAAAGGTTCCTCTATATGTTTATTTTTATAATATATTAACTACATTTGATGACGGTGAGATCATGCTGATCCAATAGAAAACCACACATTACAGCCGGATCCACAAATCACCAGGGAGCCTTATGTTTTGTCAATGCTGCCTCTAACCAAACAAAAAACGCACAGATTTTAAGATAATGGATTTGACAATGAAAGATTGCCATTTTACTTTTTGTAGTCTACACCTTCATTATTTAGTTTGTCTAAAAGCATTATACTTAAAGCAGCACTGTCATGGCCGAATCCATTTTTTTTTTTTTAAACCCCGTCCCGACTCCACTACATCTAATTGTCCACCTAGTCACCTTCCAAATGCCCCTAAGCCCCCCGTATTACCTATTTTTTTTATCTTTATTTTGTGCCCGGACCTAGGTCCTGGGTGGCTCCATCTTTGTGTGGGTAGATGACGTCCCTGTGGGACACGTCATCTGCCCACACTAGATAGCGCTGTGAAATTCCCGCGCATGCCCAGTTAAACAGTTTGGCATTCACTTCGGGAATTTCATCTATTCATTCGTCCCCAAGGCCCTAGTCTCCCCCCACCCAAATAAAATTAAATAAAGCCCTACCTACTCCCCTCACCCTAAAAATAGTGAGGGGGGGAGATAAAACTAAATACCTGTAAATAAAAAAGTACTTACCATTTGATGTTTTCTTTTTTTCTAAAACCTTTTTTCAGCCCCCAAAAAGGCCAAATTAAAAAAAACATAATACCCGTCAAACTTGTAAAATAAAAAATATTCCATCTTCACCCAGCGAGGGCATGGCGCAGACTGAGCTCCGCAGGGCGGGGAAGGGCTTATAAAGCCAGCCCACGCCCTGCAATTTGACTTAGAGCGCTCTGATTGTTGGTTTAAGCCAACCGATCAGAGTGCTCTGACAGGTAAATGAAGAGACTGACAGGTAAGTCTCAACATTTACCTATCAAAGCGCTCTGAGTCATTTTACACAGCGTGGGAAACATCTTTGGAATTTTCCCATGCTGTGTAATTTGACCCATAACTCTCTGACTGGTTAATCAGAGTGTTAGGAGTCAAATTACACAGCACAGGCTGCTCACTGTTTACTAGACATGCCCCTACTCACGATATAGCGAGTAGGGGAAGATTAATCACTAATACTAAGTAATCTTGGTCTTAGTGAAGTTGGCTGAAAGACCAATTTAGATAGATAGCTCCCTAATACCGTGGGATGCAGCCGCAGCACGGATCGGATCGGAATTTCATTCAGTCGAATAAAATTTCAAACTGACCTAAAAGTACTGAATGTCATCCTAACATGAATGAACAAACTGTTTTCATTGTGTTAGGAAGAAATTCGGTAGTTTCGCCAGCGTTCTGTCTAAATGACAGGACGTTCGGGAATACTGACAGGAAGCATTGCGAGATCAAGGAGGAAAGGTGAGAATTGTGGGAAATTGCTCTGACCACAGGAAATGGAGCAAACTTTGTTCCTCCGCTGGTCAGGCGTAGGAAAAATACATAAGACAAAGTAGTCTCTACTTTGTCTTACGTTTTAAAAAAAACTAGATCAAATAGGAAGAAACAGAAAACAGATCCTGAAAGAGGGAGAAGAGGAAGCAATTAAATAAAGGTAAGTTTGGCATGACAGTGCCACTTTAACATATTAATGGTTCTCTATCCATAAAGCAAAGAGTAATATCTATTCAAAGTTTAATGTTTTTGTTTTTTTACTAGTGAGTCCAGAGTCATTTTATGAACAGTTTTGCATTTTTTCAGTGGAAGCTTAGCAAAATTCATAACACCTTTGAAATAAACAAACAGTCATAATCTATACTTCGATTTACAACTAACAGGGTTATCCACTAAACCAGGAACATTGGCAATTTACCAGGGAATTTCACAATTTAACCCAAAACACAAGACAATCCAGCATAGCTATTTTTTGGGTTAAACTATTTGTCTAAATTTCTAAATCATTCACAGTTTATTGAATAACCGATGTAGACATGGGGAAAAAAAACATACTTTAAAAAGGTTTTAAATGAAAGTATAGTTTAAAATAAAGCATGGCATTACCTGCTATTAGCTTGTGTTTTTTCAATACAAACACAATCACTAACATGGCCTTTCTTATTACACTTGCATCATAAACTTTGGAAGTTAATAGTAACAGGTGTCATTCTAGCACATTTACTCATTATAAAAGGTTATGATAGAGCAAACAATGTCTCTTACCAGAATGCTTTTATACATGTTGCCATTGTCCACATCTAGGCTGACCCGGATAATGCAACAATCGTCTATCTGCTGGTTGTAGAGAGGAAGCGATAGGGAAGAATAGCTGGATATTCCAGATACAGAACGTTTATGGCTCCGAGAGGCAGAGACAGGGGTCGAAGACACAGAGGATGAAGAGGCGCTGCTTGAGGCCGATCCAATTCCAGAAGTGTCCAGCGAGGATAGTGACGTTGATTCCCAGAACTGAAGAAAGGAAGATGGAAGTGAAGATGGTTACGGTTTTGGACATTAAGCTACACAAACAGACTGGATATTGTGAAAAATAAAGAAAAAAGAGTTACTTGCGCGCTATCCAAAATCCCTATGCAAATTTAAATAACTAGAGGTTTTTAGCATCACTCCAATCACCATTAGGTGGAAGCCCAACTGCCACGTCAAGGGGAGTCCTACACTAACATTCACCTTGCAACCTTCAGATGGAGGGGTATTGTGGATTATTTAAAAGATATGCAACACCCGTACCAAAAAGAAGATATACAACGAACTATAACTGTGTATACATGTAAAAGTGAATACAATCTATTACATATAACAATCTATTGTCTAATTACAAATATCTTCTTGTGGCAACATTCCGTAAGAAACCCAGTACCCAGACCTGGTATTTGAAAGGTTCAAATCGTACCTAGTCTTGTATGAAAATCAATTTTAGCAGATTCATTTTAAAGGGGAATTATCAGGTAAATTGTATTTTCGAAACTGTGTAGCATATATTAAAAGCCATTTTTATTTAGTGTAATATATTTTCAGCTTTTGAATCCTCTCCTTCGATTTCTGTATTGTCAGTAAGCACAGGTCATTGTCCCTCCATTAAGCAGTGTATATCAGGGTGATTCAAACAGACGCATTGAGTGTGGTCTGTAGAATACTTGGGGAACACAGCAGCTCACACTGGAGGGGAGTCAACTAAAGGAGAACTGTCACTTCTCTGGAATGGACACCACTAAAACACAAGTTATGTTAACTTTGTTATCATGAGATGCTCCATTTACTTTTAAAGTTATATCCAATATTTAGTAAATGTCATCATGATCCAGTTCAAACAAGGCAAAGCCAGGCCAAATATTGCAAATAAGGAGAAGAAATAGTTTAACTGTTTAATTTCTACTCTTCTTTGTATGCTTTCTCTTTGCGGACTGCCAGGTGCAGAAGGACAGAGATTATAAGAATGACTGATAGTGAGCTAAGAGGGAAGCGACCACTTTAAGGATAAAGATGTATGGATCATTAATACATTTTATCTTAATTAAAGGGATAAACATTAAATATATTTTAAAAAAAAAACATTAAAAAAAACTGGGATGTGACGGTGCCCTTTAAACAAAAACCTCAATATATTTTAAACTAAACGACTATGGCTATAACATTACTTAGAAAACTTAAGTATATATCACAGATTGATTTTTCTGAGTGTCCCCTTTAAACCAGATAGAGACTGTAAAGTGATGTTTTAACATTCAATATATTACATACTTTTTTCATACAATCCTTGGATTTTTTAAATATTTTTTATATACAGAGAAGAACTTTCCCCCCTCTCTCCCACACATCAAAGCACAGAGAGCAGGCACTGACCCCCTCAGGAACGTAGCGTCCTGCAGGCTGTGCCGGCGATGCCTGGACTTTTCCCTCCCGTACCTTCTTCTCTTGACAGTCCGGGGACTCAGGGACAAAGCTGATGTTAATTTCCTCTACGTCAGAACTGCTGGATCCGGCCGATGTGACGCTGAGAGAATCAGTGGTGTCGCACAGGTGAGTACTGCACTTAAGCTGGTCAAAGGACTTAGAGTGAGAGCTAACACTAGGACAGGGTTCTGTGCTTGCTGGCTGTCTACTACAAAGACAAAAAAATAAACACCGGTGGGGTTAAAATTAGCTTTGACCACGAATGCCAATAACCAGCAACACAAAAACTTGTAAAACCTTTTCATCTCTTGTATTATGACATATTAGAAGTCTATTCTAGGAAATAAGTTTTTGAGGTAATCATGATTACATTCTTGGTATCCGTAACCTCTTTAATTCAGTACAGCAGTTGTAGGCCATCTGTAGCTATTAAAATTTTGATGGACATTCAGCTCCAGTGCTTCCTTACAAAATTCTGCTTTTGTAGACTAACAGTCCTCAAAGAAAAAACAGGTATGGTACAAAACGTAGGAATTACTTATTTTAGTTCAAATGATAATACTGATAAAATAAGATCATCTGTGGCACTTGAGGAACTGTTGGAGTAGTAACTAGCTTAGAACAGGTGTGCCAAAAACAACGATTCCACCTCACATCCGGTTACATTATTGGAGTGGTACAACAATTACAAGTACTACAACAACTCTAGGTCAACGTGTTGAAGATTTCTGGCTCGGTAGACTTACTCGCTCCATCGTTTGATGATTCCTGTGTTTTTCTTAGCTTTTAAAGTGTTGCTTGCAGATTCGGACAAAGGTTCAATCTCGCAGGACAAGCTATAACTGTAACACAAATCGGCAGATGAGGATAGAACATGAGATTGCGAATTTTACCAAGCTGCACGTAGCCAGCATACAGCAAATGGTTGTGCAGTCTACATATGAACATTTGATTAAATGTTTGTTAGGAATGTTCTCCAAAGGGCATCCCTCAGGCAGAAAATGAAAGAGAATTTACAGCACATATTATAACGTCATGCAATATTTGGAATAGTTACAAAACTATCTATGAAAAAAGGGGTTAAGTGGACAGCTCCAGTATCTTTCTTTCCTCTCCAGTTACTTAGGCATTATGTGCATAAGTAATTCTGATTTAAGGAAGCCTAACCCCTTTTTTAATTGACTTGTAGTGTCACTCGGGCCTTTGATTTCCCTCTTTAAAGATATTCAATGTTTATCACAATAATTAATACTTAAAGACGCTATGCTGACATGGGATGACGTACTTATTCAGAAAAAGCATGCAGGTGTAGAGTGTCTGATTTAAGGAGGATATGTCATGTTATCATATGGGCTCAACAAGACTTTCAAGACGGCAAGACATGCTATTTGTTCCTAAGGGATAGTTTTGTTTCCCCGAGGAATGTTGAGTTCTGACAGTTTCTTGCAGATCAGAGGGGTTTCAGACACTTCTGTCCACTAATGCTTGGAAGATTGTCAAGAGTTGTTACAACACTCACTGCATCTCATTGAAATCTTTAATGTACCCTTTATGGGACAGGACATTTTAAGAACAAGTTTAAATGACAGACCAGTCTCTATTTTTTACTTTATGGAGGACAGCACTTACCATACTCTAATTTATTGGGCACTCTAGCTGGAGCTGCACCTTTAAATAGTCGGAAGGAATCTGAGCTATTTGATAACAGTGATGTTTTTCAGCTGAGTCCAGGGAAGCTATTTCCTCTGCACTTACTCTTAAGAGCACTTCCTGAGAGAGAGTGGCTGTCCGGCACAGGAGGAAGAGGAAAAATGACTCCAATCCCCCCAACACAGTACAAACCATCAGCATACTCAATCATTTAATATATAATTTAGTTATATTATATATATATATATATATATATATATATATATATATATATTTTTTTTTTTTTTTAAAGGGTGATATTGGAATCATGGTATCTAAGAATATTCTAGCTATTTTACATTGTATGAGTATTTGCCTGATCACGTCACACTGTAAACAGAACTAAAATATTAATTGTGCTGCATTTAGCACAATACATACATACATGGAGTCACAGGACTCACCTCTCTGCCTCGCTTAGCCGGTCCACGCTATGAAACCATTCAACAAAGGATTCCTCAGGGAGGAAGCTGTAGTTGTTGCATGCTGACTGCAGCAGTTTTATTTGGGCGATGACTTCAAATTCCTTTGTAGAGAGAGTAAAAATAAAGACTTTTCAGGGAAACAGAATCAATAAACAGTAGCACAAGAAATCCCTGTACAGAATATACTAAAATTCCTGCTCAATAGGATGTTATTGATGACCAAAGCAAGCCAATGGGTAAGCTCTTAACATTTAGGGATGTGCACGAATATCTATTCTGGAGTCAAAATTCTCAAAGTGAGCAGTTGCCATGGAAACCAATAGAAACTTTTTAGCGACTGCTCCACGATTTGGAGCAATGACCTTTATTCATATGGACTAAACAGCGTTAATAGGGGCAGGGGAAACACTTCCTGCATAAATAAAATTAGAATTTTCACCTACATATGTGCCATTGAACATTACAATTGTAACATTTTGTGAAGAAATGCCATTTTTTCCAAACCTCAATAAATAAGTAGTAATAGTAGAAAGAAAAAAGGCATGTCTCCCATAGCTTCATTAATACATATTCCAGCTAATGGGTCTATGCATTCTAATGCCTTCATAGAATCAGAACCACAAGCTGTTACTTTATCCATTAGCATGTTGTATGTCCTTTAAAGTGTAATTTACAGCCAGATTTAAGACCTCACAGAAAGACAAAATGACACAACAGATATAAAGATATCTGCAATAATTTTATTACTCACCTTCCGCCTCTTCTCAAAATTGATGAGTCCTCCCTGTAACACAAACCATATAGTTATAAGAACAGAGCAGTCAAACCGTAGACTGTCAAGATCAAAGACGCAACTAAGGTACATACCTCTAAATAATCCTTCATTGCGGTATCCAGCATAACGAGGTCTGTCAAGAAGGTACCCAGATAAGGGATGGTGCCTTGCATTACACCCTGCAATAAACACACAAAATTGAAAATTCCTCAAGCCAACACCAGAGGGTGCACAATAGCTAAAAGACAAATGTTTGCTCACGGGGCCATATCATTTTTCCCAATCACCAATATATGATTTTATTAATATCACATACCAGCTCTCTCTGCTGCTGTTGTCGTTTCTGTGCCCTTTTGGGGTTAATATCAAGAGTTGCAAATTTGGAAGTCCCTTCCTAAATGAAGAATTGAACAGTGTTAATAATAAAAAAAATAAGAAATAAAATCAATCCAATTTTGAGTTATGTTGGTGCTTTATTAAAACACATAAAAGAAGTGTACTTTTCTGATGTTATTAGACCCACAAAGTCCACTAGCACTTCTTCGAGATAACACCAGGATACGTTGAAAATGGTAGTATACAATTTTAGTTTAAAACTTGTCAGGTGGGGAAATAAGTATTTTTAAAGAATACACTTCTAAATACAAGCTCCCATGACGTAGGCTAAATTATTCACCTTACATCTACCCATTCATTTCGAAGCAAAATGAGTCATAGAGCAGTCCGGGAATGTACCAGTATGAAAAGGTGCGCGAAGAGTCACACCCTCCCACGACAAACTTATCTCAGAGAGAATCCTAACTCTGAAATTCCAACTATGTGTGAACAATTATTCTGTGGTTCACAGCACTTGACAACCAGCGTAAAACCCTGAATGTACTCCAGCCGGTGCCCAGCCCATAATAAAGCTCTGAGAACATCTATTTATAAGCACCTGGCAGATGGATGTTGCAAAAAAAATAAATAAAGGAATTATTCATGTTCATTATATCAATGTAAAGGAATGTATCTCACAAATACCGACTGCCGGTACAGTCAGCAGTTGCCTCTAGTTGAACAAATGTCAGGTTAACATTCTAAGAATGTTCAGAAATAATACATTAGATAAAATTATGATGTCACGGGCATTCCCCCCACTGAATGGAGAATATTAATTTACTCATTTTTATCTGGCTATTTCTGCAACATTTTTATGAGTGCCTGTAAGATGAAATATTAGTTGATTGTTTCCAGATGGCCTGATTTTGGAAATTGGGTTACGCTTACGAGAAAAAAAAAGTGCCAACTTTGATAAGACACAGCAGCAGGGTTGGGGCAGGAGGTGGCTTGTGCTGGCCAGTAACTGGAAAGTTCCGATAAGAGAAGGGAATCCCTTCCTACCCTCCTACACGAAATAGATCAAAGGTGCAGCTCACACCCTGTCTAACACATTGAACATGCACTTGGCCGGGTGTCGACTGAAAGGCGTATACCAGGGAATCCCTAGACTGATAAGACACAAACAGGAGTGGAAAAAAAAATAAAAAAATAAGTGAAACAGTAAAGTCTCTCTTCACGTACGCAGAGAAAGATATCAGGCCAACACACATTTAGCACATGGGACTTCATTTGGGGCGGTGGGATAGAGTAGGGGAAGTTGACGAGGAAAGTACAGATAAGGATAAAATGAGATACAGAGCTCTTTAAAGGTACAGAAAACAAGTGTTTGGGTCTTTAAAACTTTCTAAAAAAGGGAGGTGCTGAATAGTTACAGGCAGCTAATAAATAAATAATATAATCAGAACCAAAAAAATACAGTAAAAATATGCAGTTTAAAAGCAGTTAGGGGCCATTGAAGAAAGAGTCTCAGCAGGTAAAAACTTTTCAAACAAGTTTAACAGATCTAAAGTTCTGAACGCATGATGTCTTTCTGTGCTTCCAGGGCCAGATTAAGAGCCCATTGAGCCTGGTGCTGAAAAATATGAAGGGCCAAATTACAGAATCTTAAGGGCAGTAAACCAGTCATACCTCCAAAGAGAATCTAGTGGAGATGGAGCCCACCCACAGGAAGCATTTCAAAGAATAAACATACCCTATGCTAATCTCTCAACCTATATATTCCCGCCCGCCGCCCCCCCACCCCCCCGTCAAATTGGCATTCTGTTAAGCGGGATGTCAGTCATCAGGGTAAAAGGAGGTGGGTCGAAGATACCAATCACTGCTTCAGCTCCATTAGCCCCTATGTTAATCTGAGTTAGTTGCTCACCGCTCCGCGATCATTGAATCCTGACATACAGTGATTGAGGCTTATAGCGCCATTATAACTTTAGAATCTAAACATGCATTGCACCAATTTTGCTAAACACACACCTTAATCAGCAGCTCTCGACTTAACGAATGGTTATTTTCATCTGAAAAGATTTCAGAAAGTTCCATGAATATTCTGAAGCTCTCCCTGGAAGGAATAAAAAAATATATAGTTATTTTTGGAATTAGACCTGAATTTTAAGGTTTTAGAAGCAAGACTATGGTTGCAAAACAATACAATATGATAAATGGTGTGGCCCCTTGTCTGAAGGTGTCAAAAATCCAATACGTCAGATCTTATATGTTCAGTGTATCAACATTCCTTACCTGGACACCTCATCCCATGTCTTCTTGAGTCGGTGAATTGCATTACACTGCAGGGCTGACAAAATAGCACGTAGAGAGGAAAAATTCTTCAAAATACGACATTCCTGTAGGTGAACCAGAATAATAAATAAATAAATAAATGTTTTACAGCAAATGAATAATGAGGATTAGACAGAAGCCTACGTGGTACTATGAAAATGAAATATAGTAATATATATAACGTACTCTAGCCACGTCTATCCAGCGCTCCACCACCTTGGCTCTCTGCTGTGGCTTCAGTGACCTATCACTCAGGCACGTGGATATGACACAGTTAGTGACACTGTTGAACTGGGAGACAGTTGCACGGATAGTTGGAGCCAGATGTTCTTTCCCCTTTTTATCCCTTTGGGACCAGATACACCCAAGGCAATGATAGGGTACTACCTTCTTGAAGAGATCCTATAGTAGGGAAGTGATACAATAAGACACAAGATGCCACCAAGACTCTTTCCTCCAGGTTATGAAACAGAGAAGTTATCCATTGAAACGAGAAAAAAAGGACAAAAAGAAGATGCATAGAAAGCATTGAAAAGGGATGGACAAATTAAAGAAAATACACGATGAGAGATAGAAAATCTGGGTGTGGCACACAGCACTAAGAGATAGATTATTATTATTTTATTATTTATATAGCGCCAACAAATTCCGTAGCGCTGTACAATGGGTTACATGCTACATGCTAGATAGGAGGCACTTCATACTCACAGCATCCATAACTGTAAACTGTTCCGCTACCATCTCTTGCCGAAAGGAGAGAAAATCTGCCTTCTCCCCCAAGACAGAATTTTCTTCTACCAAGCGAAAGGAATAACTGGAGTGATCCACGGCTGCAAAACCAAACAAAATGCATACATTCAGTCTTTATTTACAAATGAAAAAAACAAAAGCTTGTGGATAAATATTACTGGATTTTGTGGGTGACCGCTACAGAAAAACCAAAGTACAAAATAAAAGATATAACATCTGTGAATAAAACTATTCTGCATTTATATATATATATATATATATATATATATATATATATATATATATATGTATCAGCTAGAACTTGGAATATATTTGTTTGCCAGGGCTTGCATTGATGAGGACAACTGATATTTCACTAAGTCCAAAGGAATCACAGACATGAAAAAGCTGGTTATTCCATTGGGATTTCAGCATATCGTCAGCCCTTTCTTTAGCAAGGTTATGACCTAAAATGCAAATAGTTTCTAACACCTTATACTATTCAAATTATATGGTCCATAATTTCAAGCATCAGACTGAGTTACTTTTCAATTCTTTCTTCATCGGATAGCTAGTATGCATTTTTATCATGTTCCTTATGTTTTACATTGTGAGTTGGAACTTGTAGTTGTTTTAATTTTAAACATCAGAAACTTTTAACGTTAATAAATATAGATTGTGAATAGAATAATTCCATTTTCAAAAGTGTACTAAAACCATTTCCTTTAAATCCAAAACTTATGGAGAAGAACACCAAACATTTTAATCTACATTTACTGATAATGGTTTTAAAAGCTTAAACTGACCATAAAAAAAGAAAAACTTGGGACAAAGTTTTAAGGACCGGATATTGTTAAGAAATAATATTTCCTAATTTATTATAAAAGCAGCCTAATTGCAATTATAATTTCTCATTTTAATTATCAGACTCACCCTCTTGAGCCAGTTCGCTGATTTGTTGCCGCTGGAATTGCGTCAGCAGATTGCGAGCTCTTCGTTCCAGGTCTGAGCCGGGGATATTATGCCGAACGTAAGTGATGAGCTGCTTTAGACAAACATAATCTGGCGCATGACGGAAATCTTCAGAGTATTGATCTAGCCATGCTCCCAGGATGGAGGAGATTGTGCTACCAGGCAAAATGGAGAAATGTGCCAATACAGTTCAGAAACATTGTTTATTTTGTGCCAGCCCATTTTTGCACATGCTGGCCCACCAAATTCAAATTATTTCACAACAATATTCAGACATTAAAAAAAAAAAAAACAAAACATGTAATGTTAATCAGGACATCTAAGCACAGTACAGAAATACTGAAAGACATGCTTCTTGTCTACGCTGCTTTCAATTGAAACTTCAAGACTTGCATTAAAAATGTATTTGTCCCCAGTCTGCTGTGGGCCTTCTTGGGTAGCTTGACAAGATTAGTCTGTAAATATGCCTAGGATGAGGCCAGTAAGGTCAACCTCTAGCTCACTAAGTTACTCTACTCCTTGATCAGTCAAAACGTGCTGTCTGGGGCATGTAACTAAAGAATGACAGCTGGTCAGAATTTTAAATGGCTGGGGTCGTAGGTAACTAAAAACCTAGCAGGATGTGTTAGCTAATTTATAACACAAGATACAGCTAGATGTTGAATGGAAGCTGTGAAAATAGAATCATGCCAAATTTTAGATCAAATTCCTCTTTTTGTTTCATAATTACTCATGATTATCAATCCAAAATTACTTTCAATAATAGTGCATATGTTTATGGCGTGTCTGTATGATGCAATGTGGGTGTTTTCTAGAGAAAAACCACAGTGTTTACGGAGGATTTCATAAATGAACTAATTTTGCTGTTTAGTGTCAATTATTTTTTCACAAAAAGCATTGTTCTATTTTTGAATAGAATGTCTTGTTGTGGGTGGTTGTTAGGGGGAAAAAAAAACTAGGAGTTTGTTCTCCTGAAAGGGGAGAAGACTGCCCAACATACCGACATTGACACTAAACACGATAGTCAGAGTAAGAGTTATTCACTAGACTCGGAATTTTAGCAAATTAAATAATCCTATTTATTTTTGTACTCTGCAGTCTTGGTAATTTCTCTCACACCTCTTCTACAACATTAATTATTGAGGTTGGTTGTGAACTCAGGGCAATTCACTGATCTGTAAATAAACGGTCTAGAGTGGGCAGTCATTGGCTTGCTTTTTATTTTACGGTTATAAGTCAAAAACGGTTGCAGTGTTCACCCCAATTATCAGATTTCAAGCATTTTATTAATTTCAAGTTGAACACTGTTTTGGACAACTTACTTTTTTAACTCGAGGCGATCATCAATGGTGTTGTGAGAATGTTCCCCGTTTAGCTGGGGTTGCAGTCTCCCAAATCTGCATTGAATAATAAAATAATCATGGTAAAAGAAATGAATGCTTTGAGATAACAAGAATTTCAGTCCAAGAACCACCATCCCTTATAATATTTTTTGGGGGGGTTTTTTGTATCAAAGAATATTTTTTCATTGGCTCTCTAACAATGGCCATCAGATGTTGTGAAGGAGTCTAACTGTCCAATCTCTGTCTGACAGACACCAGAGGCAACTCACTTGTTCAAGAGAAGGTCCAGAACTTGCTTGGTGGTTGCGAAAGCTCGATAAGTGCACAGGAAGATGGTAACATAGGTGGAATCATTTCCTTTGAATGCAGAAACCAGGTATTCCACAAGCTTCTCCAGTGTTCCAGCCTTGATGGTCCTCACCTTGCATGTCTCATACAAACTCAAGGCTGATTCGTTCTCGAACTGTAATGAAATACTTTGAGTGAGATGCAGATGCAATATGCTTTAAAAACCACATGCATCTAGGCCTGGTTTGGCATTTATTTTTCAGTAAAGCAGCAGCCGGTAGCAAAACACCAACAACAATGATATTAGTTTCTGTAAATGAATGATTTCTTTGTTATTTGACGTGACATAAAATGCAATGACTGTACAGACCATACAGATCTGACATGTTACAAACATATTTAAGCATGCATGATGAAAGCCTGCCCTGTCTTTTGGATCAACAGCAAAAACATATGTGAGGAAGGCTGAACTTGATGGACGCAAGTCTCTTTTCAGCTATGTAACTATGATGACTGCATGCATGCTTTATCATTTACTTGGACATGTGTGCTCCAAAAATATATCAAGTTATGTATTAGGTAGGATGGATAAATTATCAAACTAGTAGAGGGCTGTCCAAATCTGGTCTAAGAGGGCCAGGAATCTGTGTTCTGGGATATTACAAGGGTAAAATGTTTAATTCCAATTCACTACCTCTATGGATTATGTGAAATGAAGGATCGGACAACCCAATGTTAAAATGTGAGAGATAAACTAAAGTTAACGGCCTGCATCCCCAGTACTTGCAGTTGGCCAAGAGTAATAGGCCAACCGAATGAGAATTCCATTTCATTAAAGCTTAAAACCAGAAGGCAGATAGTTTTCTATGGTCCTACGCTATCTGTCCTAGTCACAGACACACACACACAAAAAAAATCCCCTTTATTTATATATTTTTTCTAAACAATACATTGTGATGTTTTGTTATCCTGTTCCTTCTGGTAGGAAATGATTTTCCAAGTTGTATATATATTTTTTCTTCCTTGCAGTGAGTAGATCCTCCTGTGTACAGTTTTTATTATGGTTACACTTGCCCTTCCGTTTCTTTAGTTAATAAACTAGACAGCCTCTAAAAGGACAAGTATGGGAGGGTAGATCTGCTGTGGCCCCTGCCTCAATAGGCTGGTTGTTGCTGTAAGAAGTTGGCTGACCTCAGATTAGCACTGTGGCCTCCACACCAACGTACCACACCCTGTCCCTGCCATTGATTATATCTACTCTGTAAAAATAACACACAGATAGCCCAGCACAATTAATCTGAACGCAAAAGACTGTTGTTTTTTTTTGTTTCCTTCAAAATCTCAGAGAGAAAGATTAATCTATTTCTGGTCACAGGAAAGCAGGAGAATTATATCCCATTTATGTAAATTTCCAGATTATGTTCTGAGTTTACAAGACTTTGAGCACAGTACACACACACACACAAAAAACCAAAAAAACCTCTGACCCCCAAAAGAACACCAGTGCCTAGAAGTGTTTTGGGTGTTCTAGGTTAGTGTTTTGATTTCTTAAAATGGGTAGATGGACTCTTAACTGGTAAGGACACAATGCAATAGTCTGCACACGTCTAGAGTGGCTAGGACGCACTACAGCGAAGAAATCAGGAGATGTTGCAGACAATGGTGGATGATAGACATGGATTTCTGAATTATGTGTGTAAGCATTATCAGAGCACAGGAAGTGTAGAGCAATGGGAACAACTTCAGAAAAGGCTTAAATCAGAAGTGACAGCACAATATTAAAGATCAAAAAGGAACACCAACCAGGATGCAGATGGTTCATAAGGGTCCTACACTATCTGTTCTAGTCACAAAAGAAATGTCACTTATTTTTTTACAGTTTACAATAGCCACAGCACCCATAGATCCCCTCATCTCCTCCCACCCTCCCAACCCCCTGATTCCACTATCACTGTCTTCCTCACCGTGGCATCCCGAGGTCCAGCGAGCCCACCTTCTGCAGTGCCCATGGGAGATGGAACTCTGCTTACCCCCAGCCATCGCTGCCCCTTGTTGGCGATGTGGTGGAGCTGCACTTTACGGAGTGAGATGCTATAGATAACACCATCTTCCACCTCTTCTCCGATCTCCTGTGTGGAGCTCTGCGTGAATAAGAAATGCAAAATAACAATTTAGAGTAAACAGCACAGATTTATGCGGCACATGTAGCTACAATACAACGATGCGATTAAATGACTTAACGTTGGAACAACTGCGTATGTAAACTAAAGTGAAAAATGCTCACCCTTCTTTTTAAATAGGAGTTACAATTTTTACTTTAAAGGAAAAAGCTAAAAAAAAAAAAAAAAAACTTTCCTAATTGTATTTTTTTTCCATGCTCACTAAACAACCAAATATTCACTTAAAGTACATACACGCATTTACATCTCTAAGAGGTTTGGAGAAAGGTATATTGTATTTATTTATTTTTGACCATACACCTTTTACGTCTATGCAATGTATGGATTTTATATTCTCTTCAATGCCAAATTAGAATTATTACTCATGGGAATAAAGGAATTGTTTATAGCCTGATACCTAATTTGTGTTATATTTTATGCTACCGCCTTTTTGTTATATCATAACACCTTTCAGCTGACGAAGTTTCCTTGCCAGTCACAGCCTGCCCTGTCTGAAAGCTCCCATCGCCAGAGATGTTTTGGCCAAGCGGCCGCATAATCCTCTCAACATAGTGTAATCGGATACACAGCCTCCCTGATACCGACACCCAGTGCGACGTGTCCCCACCAGATGTCCGTCGCCAGATGGCCTTGAAGACGCATCAAATAATAAACAGAATAAGATTATCCTGTAAATCCATAAAAGGATTAAGAGCATTTTTGCAGCCATAGTAGCTCTCTAGCAGGTACTTTGCTTGTGTTCTTAACCCCTTCCAACTCTGCAAATAGTTAAATCATTTTGCATATTTCAACCCTAAAATGTGGATGGAACTTTTTGGGAGAACGCAAGATAAAGACCATCAAATAAATGAGAATCTTAAAGCATCTACTCGACTAGAAGCATACCATGGCTCATTGATAGCGAACATGGCCACCCTGATTTTTTGAGAACTATGTTTGCCATGATACACAGCCATACATGCTTTGCCATCCCTGCCTTAAGCATATGAAGGTAGGTGCGCTGTGAAAAAGCAGTGGCTTGCATAAACACTTGCACTGTAAGGGCTTTGGTGAATAATCTTGATTTGGTCATTTTAGCTCACTATGAAGAATGTGGGGCCGATGAAACAATAGCAAATTGTTTTATGAGTTTAAAACTGAACTTAAATATCTGATTTATTATCTAGATTATAGTGACCCTTCACTATGCATACGAATGTTTTACCAGACTTCACAAGTGGCTTTATTTTTCTTTTCTAAAGAGGAATGAGGGTGTGTATCCAGTCCTTTCTCAAAACTGGAAAAATGAGAAATGTTCCGTGCTCTCTGACCCAAGTAAGGTTTGACTGAGCAACGTTCTTCCAGTAGAAAACACGCATAGAGAAAGCCTCTTCTCAATGCAGAAGGAATCAGTACTGAAGCTTGTCAAACCTCAACAACAAGGACTCCAAGCCTGGAGATATTATAAATAGGGTGCATGGAAGCTGACTTCTCAGTGTGCATGTTAATACACCTAATGTATTTTATGTCTGTGATTAGAGAGATAACCCCTACACATTACTGCTTAAATAAACCACCAGATCGGGGTGACCACCACTAAAAATAATCTCTCTCTGGAGATAACCATACTGACAGAAAGAGGTCTACATAACATTAAATTAATATTACAAGAAATCCTAATGTTTTTTGGGAATCGGGACATATTGAATAATTTTTTTTTTTTTTATATATTGCTTCAGTTCTATGTCCTGCCACAATCTCTATTTCCTTCTCCATTTTTTTCAGTCACATGAGGAGCACTTTTTGCACATTCAAGAAAATCCCTCAGACTTCCCTTTTGTAACATGGGTTTGTTTAGAGATTTGTACTGAAATATATATGATAAACAAGGAACTAAGAGATACAATTAACTCATAGCTCCTAAAATAAACTATACATTTCCTTGTCAAAATACACAATATATCCGCATACCTCCACATACCTCAAAAATTTCGTATTAAGGTATGTGGCTGCTAGCGTATTTCCTGGCATACGTGTTCTGGGAATTTTGAGGTGACTTCATGACCAACTTTAGTTACTTCTGATCTAGGGAAGAGCTTGCAAAGGCTGCAGACAAGACATCGGCAGTTTTTGCAAGCTGTTATTAGATATACCCTTCAATGAAAACAAAATGCATAATTAAATGCAAACATGTTTTCATTGGGGGAATAACTCCTAAATAGTATATTTAGTTTCTTTTTTTTATTTGGGCAGTGGAGTGTTCCTTTAAGCTTTGTATTTCAACCTTCTGAGGTTGTGAACTGTAAAGAAGCTTAAATTGGGGTTAATAAACCTACATAAAAAAAGAGAAATATGACGGTTCCTCTTTTCTGCAAACTGTGTCAGTGAGACACGAAATTGCTTGCAGGCAAAACCAAGAGTAGCAGAACTTTCAAAAGTTGCAATTTATTCTGTTTTGAGAGTGTATTTTCTGTATCTATGCAGTGTGACCACAATTGGAGAGCCGGCTGCTGGGTAATACTGAGACCGCAAACAATATTAGCCTGTCCTTAACTGTGAAGGAAACAGATGGAAAACAAGAAACTAATTAAAAACTAAAAAGGAGGAGAAAAAAAAAGTAATAAAATAAACAAAAATAAGAAACAAATGCCAATATATATACACACACCGGTATATATAAAACACAGTATATATTTATCAGAGCTAAACACCAAAAATAAATTGCTTCCATTGGATCCTTGGTTCTAGAAAGCCTGCTAACCAATAGGATTAAAGGACCTGGACTCATTGCATGCACTGGACGTAAACGTAAATATATAGATTAACAAAAGTCACTGAATTAAAGTGTAGTTGCCGACATAAATTACCTTACACTCCTGAATCAAAAATTGAAAAAAGAGCTATCATTATTTAAAGATTTTGCTTCGGAATCCTATAGTTTTACGGCTCATTCTGTGATTGAATATATTCTTGAAAAGTGAGCAATGATTTTCACAGTTGAGTTTCCTATAAAATATTCACACCCACTTCTAAATGGAAATATAGGACTCAGTCATTTACAGGTGAGCAATACAAAGCCAAGGTGCAGATTCATTAACCTCCCACCGCCATTTAGAGATACTGTGTGACCAGATAGCTTAGAAGAAATGGATACAAGTTCAAGTAGTTGAAATTGTAACAGCAACTTGGTTTGTAGGCCTCTAAGACGCCTTAAATGGGCACTCTCCCACCCCTCTCCATTGAATATGGACTATAATTTAAAACATTTACTAAGACACAGTAAGGACTACTTTCTCTTACAGCCTTTTCCCCTTATTCATGGGAAAAATACAGTTCATAAAGGAATGCGCTCTCTCTCACGGGATGCTCTGTAGCTCAATAAATTATTTGGTTCTGCAAAATATATTGGCACCGCAGGTTGTTAAGAAAAATATTGTAAATTCCAAATAAGAAAACAACTTGCTTTGGGGCTTTACCTGTTTATACAGTACAGACCTTTTTAATGTCAAATTATTACCGTTTGAGGGGAAGTTGCAGCTAAGATCAGTCAGTGACAGACCACAGAGGTGAAATTACATTTTCACACATTTTAACATATTGCATGTGCTAATACAGTCTGAAAATGGTACATTCACAAATTCTGCCCATCAATCTAACATTGCATAACTACAAAAACACAGGAACTGGATAATGGGCATCTCTACAAAAACAAAACCTGTTGATACACCGCCAAACATAAGGTAACGGGCAGTTCCCAGCTGGGAGCTAATCTGCGTTGCTGTGCTGTGTCTGTGAGATGTAGGTTATGATACCTGCTAAACCAGAACCATATGTTTAACCCAGTGAAAGCAACTACATTACCAATTACAAAATAGAAGATACAATACAACAGATTATCAGATTTTGGAATTGTGTGAAAATTTTATTTAAATTAGCTTCTTTTTTTTTTTTTACCTCAAATTAACATATTAATGACTGATTAGAAGCATTGTACAGTATATTAATCTAAATACTGGACTATTTAGGAGGGAAAGTTGCTTTTTTTGGGCACAAATCCATATGTCCCTCTTTTTAAGGAGCTTCATATTGTTGGTGTGCGACAATATATAACAGAGCTACATGGCAACAATTCTCACCGTAAAATAATTACTCAGAAATGCTCTGTGCCAAACCCCCACTCACAACCCTAAAATTCAAAGTGCCCCTCTTTGTCCAATTGAAATGTTAGTACTTATGTGGTAAGAGACCTAAAACTAATCGAATGCACAAGCAAACACAGAGCAGTATAGGCCTACAGGTACTACTGCTGCTAACAAACTACATCTCCCATGACCCTCGACAGGAATACGACTTATGGGACTTGTAGTTGAGAGCTGAAGGTACACTTGTGACACTCTTATAAAAAGTGGCACACTGTGAATAACAATGATTGTTTTAATGACAAAGTTTAACCCCTTAAGGACACATGACATGTGTGACATGTCATGATTCCCTTTTATTCCAGAAGTTTGGTCCTTACGGGGTTAAATACGATTTAGAAGTTAGGTTACTGAAAGCGGACATTTATCAGTTAAATTTGTGAATACACATGCACACACACATATACACACACACGTCATATCTACATTTCTAAACCGAGAACACATAAAAACATGTGTGAACTTTACGCCTGGTTAGCACTGAAAGGGTTATTTAAACAGTGAAACTTCAACCACCCGCAAAATCAATCTCTTCCGCTCTTCAGCTTCAGAAGAAGAAGAAGAAAAAAAAAAACCCTCTTCTGAAAAAGAAAAAAAAACAACAAAAACCCACAAGGGACCAAAACTGAAAGAATTACAAAAGAACATTAAAAAAAATAAAATAAAAAGTAACATCACAAAAGGTCATGTGACTCAGAGCACATACAGCCTGAACAATCTATTATGATAGGAGTTAGTCAGGCTGTAACAATACAATGATACTTAGTGACAGCACGAAACAAAACAGGCTGCAAGAGAAAAACTGCTTGTTATTCTGTTAAATATTTGAGACATTGCAGGTCCTCCTACATGTCATTATTACAGGAAGATAAGATCTTTGGATAGTAACCAGCAACGAATAATGACAATGCATTTGCTTAAACCAACATGAAAAAGTTTTAGCTACAGAGCTTTATACAAAATTATACCTTAAGGTTAAAAAAAAAAAAAAAGAAATAAAAATATATTAATCAGCACATCACAACTCACATAACAGCGATGGGTAGTTTTCAGACAATAATGACAACACATGCTAATATATCAGATATCAATAATCTGGGACAGACGTTAATGAATGACCTCGTTGAGATTTAAAAAAAAAGTAAGATAAAAATGTTTATGTATATACCAAATGCCACATGAATATATCAGTTCGTCAGAGCATCCAGCCCTATTTACAAATCAACTATTTATGTTTTAAAATCTCTAGACAGATAATTACACATGTTTTTTGTTTACTCTTAAGGGCTCTTTCCTCTGCTATATATAAAATCAATTTTTTCCAAGTCTCAGGGATAAGCTTCGCCTTTGTACAGTAATATTAACGAACATAGTATGTATATCATGATATAATGGAATTAGCCTAAGCCCTTGTCATGAGGGGTAACACTTACTGTGCCCCTAAAGTACACTTAATGGCACAGAGGGGGTGACAGGAAATTCCTCCAGGTCTCAAGTTTTGAGCAGAAGAAAAGATCAGTACAGATTTTCATTCATAGGTCTTGTGACCACAGTCACAAACTGATCCAGGAGCTCAAGGAGAGATTTCCTCTATAAACCTCTTAGTTTTAATACAAGAGACTCAATGTTGGAAATCAGATTGATTTGTGAAACATTTCTTTCTGCCTACTTTTACCCATTTACTTCCATTTTAGCCTATAATAAACCAGTTATGTCGTGCATGTTTATAGTTAGCCTGTTAGTAGAAACTCTAGTCATGGAGACAGGCCCAAGCTTTTAGGAGTGCAAAGTAATGGAAGTTGTTCAGCTGTGTTACCTTAAGGCTGCAAAACATTATGGGAGTAGTTCAAAGGGGTATTTAGGTTCCAAAGCATTATGGGAGTTTGTGGGGAGAGGTAGGGGGAGGTTTAGGAGGTGGGGGGGAAAAGTTACCTTTTGCAATTTTTTGCCTTAGAGTGCCCATACGAAATTGCCCACATTTTAGGAAATGTGAGTTATCACACACACACACACACACATATCTAAAATATTACACAACACTAAATATTAAACTACAGAGGCGTGTTAAACCCTGCTTGTCTCCCTCACTCCCATTGCCTCCTTTAGATTTTAAGCTCATGGGCACACTTTTCCTTTTATATATAAATGTGTATGTATGTCAATACACCTACTATTGTCAATACACCCGCTGTACGGACCTCTGGAAAAATTTAGAGTTTAAGTATTGCAATTTGCGAAAGGTTCCAGAACATTAAAGGATAAAAAGGGATCAAAATAATTTTACCACTCAGGGTAGATCAGTGACCAACTAAAGAAAAAAAAATTAAAATAAATAAAAATACCCAAATCCTCGTACCCAGTACTGCTGTTTTCAGTAATAAACCTTTCCAGCACACTTTGTACTTATCCTGTGGGATCACTGATTGACACACCCCTATGTTAAAACAGTCTTTTGTTTTACAGTTATTGAATCTCATCCAAACCACAGATTGAATAACTCACCTTTACACAGACAGCTAACTAATCCGCTGTGCCACAACAAACCCAGTGTAGGCTTCCAAAATGCCAAATGAACATATTGCAGTATTAAAAATAAGAGACAAAACATACCAGCACGGAGCCAAGTAATCTTGGGCAACAACCAAATGTGGACACAAACATTCATTTTGTGTCCACTTTACATTTACGTTTGGAATTTGAAAAAAAATGTTACGTGGGGTGGGGGTCAAAATGACCAAGTAGTATATTAAATCAGGGGTGGCCAAAAGGTTAGGTTCCCTTTAGAATTTGAAAAACTACAACTCCCATGATGCTTTGCCAGCCTTAGTGTAGTAATATTTGGCACTACGCCAAAGCCAACAACAATAATCAATCCCCTGGAAAAATACATTTTCTTTTTAGATGCCATTATTTTTATGATGTCGATAGGTTCTCTAGTGGATATCACAGGTAGAAGACATTATAATTATAGGGACACACATTTGCACACTGCATGAAGTTTAATGTAGGTTTACAGAAATTATACTTGCAGAGCTCATTACATCCCACATTTCCATTCTGGTATTTGTGCTTCTCCACTCACAGTCCTTTGTGCATTTTCTGTAGAACATTGGGATTGAAGTGCAGTGTCATGTGACCAGCAGCGCCAACACAATCTAAGACTAAGTAACTGTCTATTGTCCAAAGCAAATTAGAGGAGAGGGGGGGCTTTGTGGACTAAAGCAAACGAGATGTAAACGTTTGGCATGAGTGCCAAGTGGATTCAGAGTCTTTGATGTTTAGAAAGTAGTGGTCAGTCTCTGACACCCAATTACAAACTGTAGATTAAGAACACTAAAATACTGTACACCAAGTGGGGTGAACTTGGGTGTGCATAGTTTAATTAAATTCTGTATCTGATTAACTGCCTGCAGGTCTTATTGTCTATAGAGAATAAGTTAATAAAATGAAAAAAAAATGAAAAAAAACAGCATGGTCACAGAAGACGAAATTTAGTTATCAAGAAGCAATGTAGTCCTTTTTGTAAAACATCCAAGGAGAAAATTAGAAAAATAACAATAACACAAAAAAGCCTTTTATTTGATTTCTGTTTCCCTACAACCTATTTGTCCTTCACTCCATAGCTGTTTGTCGAGTTCCTATGCTGAAGGTGTACAACCCCATACTGGTTTTGCAGACTACAGTCTGCTTTGGTAGCAGAAGCAAACAGTCACTTCTATCTTCATTGACAATAGGCCATTTACAGACTTGACAGTGGTTGCTAACAGGTGGTTAGTTACCAAGGAAACAAATAAACAGTTACCAAAGCAGCCTTTTTGTTCCTCCCAAGACACAATTTAGGTTTTGCATAAGGCTGTTTCAACAGCGCAGTCACGTTTCCATCCTACGGCCACTTACAATTAGCGAGCTGCATAGGCAATGTTAAAAAACCCACAATGCTTGTGGGGACAGTTCTCTGATGTCCCCAAAAGAGGGACACCAGGGAACAAAGTCAGAGGCAGGACAGGACCTGAAAATCAGGCCAATATAGGTAGGCCCGTTACCTTAAGGAATTGTGGAACTGAATAACTTATTTGTATATACTCCTCCTCTCTGGCTGGGCAATGGTTAACTATACAATACTGGTGACCAAATGATCAATGGAATCCTCGCCTCTAGAAAGAGCGGCCTGGGAAACACCAATCAGGAGACTACATTTTATTACTATTGATTATCCTTCAGAAACAGAGGCTATGCTGCCAGCGGGCTACAATTTCCATCTAATTAAGCCATATCTTAAGATATTAGACCTTAGACAAAACAGCAAGATTCTGTCAGGCATGAAAACATTAAATCTCAACCTAAAAAAAATAAATGTAATTAATATAGAACATCTTAATCTATAAATGTATGGGATACTATGTGGAACAAAGAGCATTATTAGTTAAAATATGCCCACTATTATATATATATATTTTGCAGCATTGATAGAATGCTACAGACACTGATAAGGTTAAAAAAAATGTATGCATGAAAGCGGAGATTCATTGGTCTTTGGCAGGTGAAGGGTTAAGATGTTGGAAAGTATTAAACTAGCTGGAAAAAATATCCTATAGAAATTTAGAAATGCCTGCTAGCACTAAATTTTATTTTTCAAGTTTATAACACGACAATGGGCGGTGCCATCTATCAAATTACTCTAGGGCAGGAAAACAAAACTAAACAATGAGAAAAAAAACAATATTAAAGGGGCACTATAGGCACCCAGACCACTTAATCTCATTGAAGTGGTCTGGGTGCAGTGACCGTGTCCCCTTAACCCTGAAATGTAAAACAATGCAGTTTTAGAGAAGCTGCAATGTTTACACTGCAGAGTTAGGACTGCTTCTAGCTTTGCATGAGGACGTCCAATGTCTTGAAAAAACCCATAGAAGAGCATTGAGTCAATGTTTTTCTATGAGGAAGGCCTAAAGAGCGTGCGTCGCTAGTCGCTCATGTGCATTAGGCTCCCGGAGAATGCAGGACCCCCAGTGCTTGGATCAGATAAGCGATTTAAAGGTATTTTTAACCCTTTCATGGCTGGCGAGGGGTGCTGTAGTTTTGTATTCCTAACAGTGTGGTGTTCCGACAATAGTATGGTTTGTTGAGACAAAAATACACTCATTGTCTACACATGATCGGGCACATATACCTTGAAATAGGATCAGGAAACAGCTGGGTCAGAGATAATTTTAGGTTTGTAGCAGGAGAATTTGTATTTCTTAATTGTCTTTATTACAGAGCTGAATAGCTGGAACGAAAGATTTCCGAACCCCTCTAGCATCAACAATGACTTCTCTGATTTAAATCCTTTATTGGTGACCATCATCCTGGTACAAATAACCTGTTCTGTGTAAACAAAGACTTATTGAGGGTTCATGGGAGAATAGGTTTTTGATGGGGCAAGCAAACCATGTTCCAGACTGATAACTCAAATATTCTGGACATTCTTCCACACAATTATATTACATGAAAATAACTCAGTGAAAATTACTTTTTTTTAATTATTTTTTTTTTTTAAGAAAAAAGGCTTACAGTAGTTAAATTCAATTAAAAAGAACTGGTCTGATCTGAGAATTTACTACAAATGTATTCAATTCTTTAGAAAATTGGGCAGACTAGATGGGCCGAATGGTTCTTATCTGCCGTCACATTCTATGTTCTAAAAAAAATAAAACAATTATTATTACAATTTAACTGGCTTCAATGATTTGTTTGTCACTATTTAGCGTTTATAAAATAAAAGATGCCTATGGGGGTAGTGGGACACAATAGTCTTAGGAATACAGCTTTGTTTTCCTAACACTGTAGTGTTCCTTTTTCACTGCAATATAAACATTGCAGTTTCTCTGAAACTGCAATGTTTTCAATTACAAAGTTAACAGGACTGGGACAGTAGTGTCCCTCTTAAAAAAAACCACAACAACAACAACAACAACAAAAAAAACAACAACAGAAGAGCCCGCAAAACGAAAAATAAAATAAAACAGCAATAAAATCATAAAATAGCACTGTCCCTTTAATTCCTTGGTGTCACTAGCGCTAGCAATGTTAAAGTACTAATTAAACAACAACAAAAAAGCTGTGTTGATACCGATAATAAATTTTAAATATCTTGTATAGCTTAGAAAATGAACACAATGTGCTGTTGGATTTACAAGGCCAAAATGCCACACATTATTGTACAGGTGTCACATAATGTGCAGTAGGACATTATGAAACAGGTAAACACCCTTTGCTTTGAATAGTAACATGCACGTGCGGTAGGATAGGCCCAGGGCACTTCCAGGTAACCCACAATGAGGCAGTGGATCCTGGAAGAAGTGGAAAGGTCAGCGAGTGACAAAGGGTGATCTTTAGAGCAGGCATCTTCTGTAACTACATACATGAGGTTGTTGGGCCAACCAAAAATGGATTTCACACGTAGAAAGGAAAACAGTCAGGACTCCTGATCAAAAATATTAGTACAGAATTAGGTGTCTAACAATTCACAAAAACATCACAGTTTATAAATAAACATACGTACAGAGCAGGGTGAGTCAAAAAAAGAAATCACCCAAATATCTGTAAGATGTATAATGGTAGATTAATCACATCATTACATAATGTAATAAACTAGTCGCAGTACCTGTGATGTATAACAACATCTAGGATGCTTTAACATTATACTCGTTATTCAGATATATGGGTAGTAGCTGACTGAACCCACTTTTACATTGTAACATTCATATACACCAGGGGTGCCCAAAAGGTAGATTCCCAGATGTTTTAAAACTACAACCTCCATGATGCTTTGTCATTCTAAAGGCATGCCAAGTATCATGGGAGTTCTAGTTCTACAACAGCTGGAGATCTACCTTTTGGGCACCCGTGATAAACATGTATATATGATTGTGACATGCACGCCAATGTTCTAATCTATGGGAATTATTCACTAAACATTGAATTGTGGTGAAATGAAAACCAAGTTTTTAAATCTAGTAGGATAATTTCTCAATATCAGCTTATTTTTGCCTATTTTTAGGCATTTCGATTAAGTTCACTACTACTTAGTGTTTAGAAAATAGATCCAGAAATTGAGTGTTTTACAATTAAATGACAGAGGAGCAGAACACTGTTTTCCTCTTTTAATGGCTGCTTTATATATTTCTTTATTCTGTAGCAGATACAGCCAAAGTCCTAGCACAAAGCTGGCAAAGCATCATGGTAGTTGTATTTTGACTGTCCCTGGTAAACTGATGTAAAGCTTGGTCTGTGTACAGGAAGGAGTTAATAGGAAAAGATGGATGGGGTTTTTGCAGTGTGACATGGAAACAGTGCAGAAAATTCTATAGCAAGTCAGAGTGCTCTGGAATGCACCCCTTTCTGCCTTCCTCCCACCCCCCTCCTGGGCTCCAGCCCACTATTTCATGTCTGTCCCATTTAGGTCAGCTGACAATTATTCCAAATCCCGTTTCCACAGCAACACACTCTTTTGCTGCACCCTGGGGGAACAAAAAGATGGATTTTTATTTTCTGCCAGGAAAAATAGAAATCAGATTCTAACAGGGAGGAACAGCAAAAAGAGGAACACAATAAAGGAAAAGTGGAAATTCATTTTGAGCAACAGGGAGGGTAAATAGAGGAAGCATAGTCTGGATCTAAAAATGTAATGTTAATTTCCTTTAATTTTAAGATGAACAAGAAAAAAAGGAAGGAAAAGAATATCCTTCCTTGCAATCTAATCACAACTGTGAAAGCAGGATAATGACAATATTGTTTTCTTGGATTACCTTCTTATCCTGCTACTTCTCACCAGCCATTAATGAACTACAATTCCCATCACCTGGCATCCCAAATATGCACCAGCCACGTACAGTGTTATTGGCTGTCATGGGCGTTATAGATCCCAATCATCTAGGGGTGCAGTATGTGACTCCCACTACTCTATATTAGGGTCGCTCTCTTATTCATGAATATATATATATATATAAAATTCTGTTCTTGTTCATTACGCAACTGAACAACCCACTCACCCATCTGGTTTTCATTCAAGTGGGAGGTTGTAGAAAGAGAAAAAAAAAAAAAAAAATATACATCGTGCAGTTTATTCACTAAACAGTGAGCTATGTGTTGATGTGTTTCACTTCAGCTATCTTGTCCTGAATTTAGCTTTTTTTTTTTTTTTAATCACAACTGTTTAGTAAGGTAAAGTGACACTATAGGCACCCAGATCACTTCTGCTCATTGAAGTGGTCTGGGTACAGTGTCCCTATTGCACTTAGCGCTGCAATTTAAAACATTGCAGTTTCTCTGGAATTGTAATGTTTACATTGCAGCACTAAGTCTGTCTCCAGTGGCTGTCTCCCAGACAGCCACGGAAAGTGCTTCATGGATACTTGCGGACCTTTGGTTCGGTAATTGAAGCTGGACGACCTCACGCTTTGCATGAGGACATTCAATGTCACATTCTTCCCCATTGATTCAAGACTTTCCTATGGGGAGGTCTAATGCGTGCACGGCACTTGCCGCACATGTGCATTAGCGCCTGCTTGGAGGAGGAGGCGGAGCCGCAACCCAACGATCAGGGCACATCGGCGCTAGGGTAAGGTAAGTAAATAAAGGTGTTTTTTTTATCCCTTTATTCACGTTGGTGGGGGGCGCAAGGGAGGGGGAGGCAGAGGGAGCTATAGTACCAGGAATACAGCTTTGTATTCCTGGCACTTATAGTATCCCTTCAAACCAATCTGTATACATTGAAAAATACATTTGATGTGTACTGTAAAATGTAGTAAAGAGATGTAATGAACTTATGACATTCTGGTCTTCACTTGATTATATTGATGATTTATAGAAGATCTAAGTTCGCTCGGTTACAAAGAAAATGTCAGGACAGATTCTGGGCATTAGGGAACCCCCACAAACCCTATTAATGGCTTAATGTACGTCATGGAGAAATCTGGAGTGCCAAGACGAACCATCACTGTTAAGTATTGATAAATATTTAAAAACAAGACTATTATAAACAAATCACCTATATTTATAGTCCTTGTACCACAAGCCATAGTTAAGGTGCTAGAAAATTATAAGATGCTATTTAAAATTTCAGAGTTTCAGCTGAATTCAACCTACATGTGCTCCCACCAAATATTATGGAGAGATAGTTCGGACCCATCAGATTTTTCAGTATCCTTATTAATCAAACAAACAGAGGCAATATAAGAGTATTGCAGTAATTGTAAAAAAAAATAAAAAAATTTATTAGATTAAAAAAATATTTGGGAACAGTATTTATTTTTGGAGATCCTCCTTTTATGAAATAAAATACATTAGACTTGATAAAGATAGTATCCCTGAAATCCATGCCTTTCAAACAATTCAGTTTGTTCGATAAAACAGCTATAAAGCAAGATCCTGCAGGGCTCCATTCTAATGCAACAGCTTTCCATAACCATACAGAGATCCCTGCAGGGTACCATCTCCTGATGGAAATGGTCTTGTTCGTGATTACTAGACTAGAAAATTGTTGAATTTTCATGCATCAGCTATCAACTCAAGGGCGAGATACAGTCATATCAGTTTTTAGAGACTCTGTAGGTGAACGTTATCAGATGGAATTGTAAGGCAATTCTGGAGTGCGCAATCACACAGCCTCCTGATTTCAATAAATATTTTTCTTTGAAAGGTATGGTTCAATTATTTTATCTCAAAAGCTGCAGTAGGATGGAATGATCTGGACACATTTTTTATTATTGTAGAGAAGAAGGACTGCACAAGAGTCAGAATTTCTAATGAGCTCCAACGGTTTACATCAATAAAGATCAATATAAATTTTAATTTTTTTTAAATTAAAAAAGGTTTAAAAGTCATGGCTATGTGGCTTCTGGTATTTGTATATCAGAAAATGTCCCTTTAAATACAGGTGTGTTTTTTTTAAGTGTAACACTCAGCACTATGTGTCACTACATATACCAAAACCACTACAGTGTACAGTATTCAATCCGTTTTTGAACAGATAGCTTACCTGGTTACATGCGGCTCTTACAAAGTACTAACCCTGCCTGGATCGGCACATTGGTTAAGAGCACTCAGCTGATGCTCACTGCCAGTGAGCGTATCCCTTCTTAGCTCAGTTGACCTTTGGGCATGTGGCATGGGTGCAAGGCGAAACCCAGGCAATTTGTCAAAACATTCTGAAACGATCTGACAAATTACATACTGGGAAGACGACAAAATACTCTTGGCCCATAACATCTACAGCAGGCTGTAGTGGTTATGGTGATTGGAGTGTTCCTTTTAACTGCCTTCAGGCATCATATTAATAAATATGTTATTTACTGATCAAATACATTAAATAAGTATAGTTGTATAAAAAGCAGCCATATTAATCTAGTGACTTCGACAAAGCTTTTTGTAGAATATGTACGGCCTGCTTCGTTCCATTCTGTTCTCCTGGGGAAAAAAAGTGGTGGTTTACCATGGAACGGAGGAAATGAACGTAGGATAGGAAATGAAAAACAATGGATTGCAGCTGGCGAGTAACAGATTCTCAGGGGTTTATTAATTAAACTATGAAGTGTGGTCGACTAAAATCTAGGCCAATATAAAAGGTTTACAGTTTATTTTTTTTATCTTAAGTTTACAATGTGATGTTCTGTTTACTGTTCTTCACAGTTTGAAGTACCACTATAGTGCCGGGAAAACATACTCGTTTTCCTGGCACTATAGGGTCTCTAAGTCCCCCCCACCCTCTGGGTCCCCCTCCCGCCAGGTTCTAGGGAGAGTAAGGGGTTAATTCTTTACCTGATTTCCCCCGCCGGGCTCCCTCGGCGCGGGGAACTCTCCTCCTCCTTTTCGCCATCATCGGCTGAATGCGCATGCGCGGCAAGAGCCGCGTGCGCATTAAGCCAGTCTATCTATGGACGCAGACGTCTTCTCACAGTGAAAATCACAGTGAGAAGCGCGGTAGCGCCTCTAGCGGTTGTCAATGAGACAGCCACTAGATGCTGTATTAACCCATATGTAAACATAGCAGTTTCGTTTACAGCAAAAAGGGTTAATTCTAGATGGACCTGGCACCCAGACTACTTCATTAAGCTGAAGTGGTCTGGGTGCCTATAGTGGTCCTTTAATTACATAAAAAATTTGATGCAATTTTCAGTTTGCCACAAAATGGCAAACCAATCTCTTGTTAGGTCAGCATTACATAGTAAGGTTTTAGGGCTTTTTATGAGTTTTGCTAGTTTACAAAACAAAGAGAGAAAGAAAGAGAGAGAAAAGAAAGAAAGAGAGAGGAAAAAAAAAAGGGGGGAACTTATAACTTAATATCACATCTGTAAAGTTGCACTGAACTCACTTTGGAAAATACCAAAAAAGTCTCACTTCTGCTTCTTAGTTTCCGAGCGTTCGGCTTTCGATGCCCTAAATAGATCGGCTGGATTTACATATATAGTTGCCTGTATCAAACATTGCACGTTGGTGTTCTTTGATCAGTACACTGCTCTTTAGTTCTTGGAGGGTGGCTGGGGCATTGTGGTCATCAACTATTACTTACCTTTTTTTAACAGTATATATTATCTATATATAAAATAAATAATGCCCCGAGGACTTCTTTAAAAAAAAAGTCATTGTGATTACCTATATGTCATGTTTCAGTCAACTATGTGGACATTTTTCAACACGTGCATTGAAATAAACAATGTACCCTGACCTGTAAAGCAGGAAGAATACTAGTGATTACTGTATATATAACCTGTGTTCATGGTGTCATATTAGTAAAATATTAGATTTATCAAAAACTCTTTAAAATGAAATTAGGGAGGAGAAAACAGAAAAGTTTAATCACATTTTCAGAATAAATCATTTAAATCTACCGTAAGTCAAAGAAACATTTTTTAAAAAATCACCAGCGATAATCTACTGAAAACCTAAACCTGTCTCTGCATTTGCTTGTGAATTACATTTCCCATGATACTCAACCAGCCTAAATACAGTATGCTATAGACACACAAGCGCACAGTTTTTCATTTAAGTTTGAATCAGTGGGAAATACATTTTACATTTTAGACCAAAGAACAACTGATAGTATTGTTAATTTTCCAATTGGCTATTTTGGTCTAAGATTTAAAATTAAGCTTGAAATCCTTACAATTCCTAAAAGAAAAACTGACAAGTATACAGGCTATACAGCCAATAAAATAAGACATAAACAGGAAGAGCTATGATGCTAAATAAAACATAGCTAGATCCTTATGGGATCACTTAAACCCCATAGCTCTGCCTTCATAATTGCATCTCGGTTCAAGTCAGAATAAAAATATATATGTTTTGCAGGTAAGTCACTGCCTAAAGCCTCAACATCTGGTGCACATGAGTAGAAAGGCAGAAATAATTACCTATCTACTAGTAGAGTTAGTGACTCTAAGGTCAAGATAAGTCAACTTCCCATAAAGTGTAAAGTCCCATTAACCTCTACATGCATTGTCCTTGTTAATATAAGATAGGGATGTCTATGTCTGGTAAGATGGAAGGTTTAAGTGGGATAAGAGCCTGATAGAGATAAGGTAATGAAATGATACTGCAAAGGGGCTGGTGGGAGTAGGAGTGGGGTAAGCGGGAATCCTGCTAAGCTATTTTGGCATAAAAATGTTATTTACCGAGTCATTTCTAAAAACCCCTAGCTTAGTAAACAAACCGCACTGTTACAAGCATGCAATTCTCTGTGGATTATCTACAAATAGGAATCTAAAAATGGAGCAGTTACCATGGAAACTAATGGAATGTCCCAGTTGACTGATCCACTTTTCAGTTTTGTCCCAGATTCTATAAGCCCCATTCTAATACTTTGTCTCATACCAAGGACCACCTTGAAGGAGATGCAAGGGATTTAAATGCTCCATGATGACATATTTCCTCAATAGAGAGTAATATGGGCCATTTAAACAAACCCAAAACACATGTTCACGCATCAACACAATCATCAGCTAATTAGAAATATCAGAATAATGTTAATACCATATAAGATAAAAGTCTCTCTCCAGCTTTATATATTATTCTACAAGCAAAATGAGGTAATAGATTTCAAAATTAAGGAAAAATAATCACATTAAATGGTACCCTTCCTTAAATAAAAACTTTAAATATTATTGTTCCATAGTGTTTTTGTTGAGCCACTGCCAAGAACAAAAAAAAACAAAAAAAACAAAAAAATAAAAATCTATGAAAATCTGAAACAAAAATGACTCTTTAAAAGAAATTAGCGATGACAGACACCATATGAATAACCAATGAAATCTTTTAACACTTAAAACATGCTCATTGCACTCTTTGACTATGGGGGAAGTGGTTTCATCAAGAGTGGAAGTCATTTTTATGCGTATGGACCATTTTCATTTCTTCAGCCGTTACCTACAAATCTCAACAATAACAACCTTGTTCAACTTCCAATTGTCAGCGCTGTCCCCTGGACTCTCAGATGATTAAAATGCAGATTTTATAAGTAAACAGTATGATAAAAAATACATGCAGTCTACTTTTTATTGTTACAGACATTAAGTATGCATATGTTTTTCTAGGCATACATGATCAGTCACGAAACGCAGTCGCCCTACCAAATACCCACGGAGAATACCTACTTCCTATGGTTTCAGATTTAGCCATGGAAGCTCGATGCCTGTGTGCATGGCATCACAAAACCAGATTAGAGTACCTATCCCTTTAAGAACTAAAGCAGCCAGGATATATAGTCACTCTCCTGACATCTGCAGCGCCTGGGCTTATAGAGGTAGCTTATCACTGCTTCAACCAGTTAACGTTTACCCTGCGCCAAGATTTCTTTCTCTCCCATTCTCAGTCCTGGTATTGCAGGCTGTAACAAAATGCATGGAATACATCATCATCTTATTTGATGCTTTCTTGGCAAACTCAAAGACATAAATCATCTCCACCCCACGCATTGCATAATTAATATGTACCCCCCTCTAGGCAAGCAGCAATCCTTTGCAACATACTTCACCGTTTGAGCACACGCTGTCCTTTAATGAAAGTAGACAATTTAAAACCTTCTCAAAACAATGAAAATGTATCCATCTTATGCTTGGTTTGCAGGCGATTTGCTATTGTGCTCCGGTGTCAGATAAACATAAATTCATTTAAAATTATTTTTACTACATTTCAGTTCCCAGGGGCGAATGTCATTTAGGAAAATACATTTTCTAACCCAGAGAGCAGAGCTTCCATTTGTGATGTGATTAATATTGCAGCATGAAGGTAGGTTTTGTGTGGGTGTCTATGGCGGAATAATATATTAGAAATACAAAGGTGGTTTATTTATACATAGCGCTCCTGGGGCAGTGTTCTAAAAGTGGATCAATCTCCTTGAAAACAAAGGAATCTTCCATTACTCCACTTTTAGAACACTGCCCCAGGGTTGCCTTTTTATAAATAACCCCAAAAAAAAGAAAGAGAGAAAAAAAAAAGGTCTTACTTTTTAGATGAGTTACTGGAAGACTTTGTAGAAGAACCGTACATCAAAACACAAATAGGAATTGCCTGAAATTGGCTAGGGAACAGTACAGGTCAGAGCAGGGCAGCTGATCTGGGAAAAACTGTATAATTGCTCCGGTTCAGCTATTTCGGCCTACCATTTCAATTTGCTGTTCTTTTGATGTACAATTTAACATTCTCTTTACAATCCACCTAAATTTTAGGTTTGGTGAACATTTTCTAAGATTATCAGGAGTTAAAGGATCACTATAGGGTCAGGAAAACAAAGCGGTTTTCCTGACACTATAGTGCCCTAAGGGTGCCCTCACCCTCAAGGTCCCCCTCCCTTGGCGCTGAAGGGGTTAAAACCCTTTCAGCAGCTTACCTTAATCCAGTGCTAGGCTCCTTCGGCAATGGTGACCTCTCCTCCTTTGCCGACGTCGGCTCCAGAGTGAAGCGGAATGCGCATGCACGGCAAGTGCCGCACATGCATTCAAACAGTCCATAGGAAAACATTTCTCAATGCTTTCCTATGGACGCTCTGCACGCTGGATGCGAATTTCACATCCAGCATGGCAGATGCGCCTCTAGCGGCTGTCAGGAAGACAGCCACTAGAGGCTGGATTAACCCTGCAATGTAAACATAGCAGTTTCGCTGAAACTGCTACGTTTACATCTGAAGGGTAAAAACCTGAGGGACCTGGCACCCAGACCACTTCATTGAGCTGAAGTGGTCTGGGTGACTATAGTGTCCCCTTAAGGCTTCCTTATCGATTACTAAAGATTCTGTATGGCTACAAAGGATAGCTATATTTCAAAACTTTTTCTGTCCTAATATACTTTACAGATCCGTAAGCACAGAACTTTTAAACTGCTAAGTGGTTATAACTGTGCACGCCTGGCGCCCACGCGGAATGAAAACATGTTGAGCAAAGATGACAGAGTACCCAAAGCCTGAGTGCATTTAGGTTTTTTAATTTGCATGTTTTACATTTTCACTTATTACAGCAATGGTTGCCCTAACAAGGCCTGGCCTCCCGCTGAGCCACATGTTTCAACAGCTGGAGAAACTTAACTTCAGCCAACAAAAATACACTGGATTCCGGACAGAAATATCAGCAAATAAAGGAATGGGATGGATTCCTACACATCATCTGGATCCTTTAAAAATTCACCCCGAGCATCAGAATTCTGCCTTTCATCCTGCTAGTTATGTTACATAATTTAACCCTTTAAATGTTCTTCCCCTTTGTTGATAGAAGCTTTAAATACATGGCGGTGTTTTGCAAACCCTTTGTGATAGCTCTGAAGGTTTTGAATTGATTTAGTAAGCAAGGAAAGAACTGCTGTGACTGCAACTAGTAGTACTCTCAGTCGGTCAATGTGAACTGCAGTTTAAATCAGCCGGAATGTCAGAGGATGTCAAATTCATGTCAGATTCTTGCCCATGCAAGTGAATGAAAGTTGCAGGTAGCTCACTCGTATGAGTGGCTGTAATTTGTTTAAGGGTTATGCACTAAACACTAAAATGTTAAAAATTCAATCCAAATTACGAAATTTAGGCTACAATAGCCAAGATGTGACTATAGAGAGGCAAAATAACTTTTTCCATATCAGCAATTTAGCCTAAATTTTGCCATTTGGATTTAACGGAGTAAAATTCTGTGTTTATTGAATAACCCCATTTGGCTTAACAAAATTGGTTACATAAGTTTGTATGTGTGATGTAATACATGCCCGGTAATTAATATATAGAGACTACAATTAGCCAAAAGATCCTAGCCATTTGCTTGCTGAGGATGTCACTGAAATATAAAAGATTATACTTTTTAGAGGATCTGTTTTAATGAAAAACTACCAAAAAGGTAGATGTTTTGGAGCTACAACAACCATGATGCTTTGCTATTTGAGAGGCAAAGCATCATGAAAGTAGAAGTTCTATAACATTTTGGGATTTACCTTTTCAGTCAACCCTGCTATAAGGTATAAAATATGGGGTGGCAGGTCTAACCTGTAGCATTCTTTCAACCATGAAGAGAGGGTGCCACTGCAGTATTGAAAAAGATCAAAATAACCAAACAAAATCTAAACAACAAAAAAACCTAAGGGGTAACTTAGAAAACTCCAAATAAAAAACAAATCTCTCATTATTTAATTAATGAAAAATGCAATATCCTATTCTCTTTAATATGCCTCGTATGGGTGCCAAGCGGCAAGATTTTTTTAGGAGATTTTTCAAAAACTTGTACATGCAACAACTATGTTCCCTTCCCCCACAACATCGCAGGGATTTTTTTTATCATGTAAAAAAAAAAAAAAACTGTATTCATAAACACGCATTCCACTGTCACTCAGGGTAGTTATTTTAAAAGCAGATAAGACAATGCGTTTAGGGGTTAAAGGTCACTGAAGGTAAATATTAAACTTTACAGCAGATAAGGTACAAATGTCAGGGTTTTATGCAGCCCTTACTCACGCTCTGCCAAATTACACTCAGTAAGTAAAAATTATAAACCTAGCTCATCCTGGGATGTTTCAGTATTCATAATTTCTTTATAAAGCGCCAAAAATCTGGAGTGATAAAAATATGGCAGAACAAATATATAACAAAAACATGATGTAAAGAAAATACCAAGTTGCTTGCAATTTGTGACAGCCTACAGATTATAGGAGTGTTTAAAATGTATAACATATACAATATTACATTTAAAAGAAAATGGAACATCACATAAAAAATGAAACACAAGTAATAGTTGATTTTCAGTGGTTGTTTTTAAATCAATAGTGTATTTTCCAGAGAAATTAAGATTTTCCTTTAAAAAAAGCTTAGATGTTCCTAACAGAAAAGTGGAACAATATTCTGAAAGTGAAGCAGTCACCATGGAAACTAAAGCAATGTTATTGATTCTATTGCTTCACATGACATTTTTTCCATGTTGAGACATCTGCCCTACTTTCCAATTAGTGAACCTCGATTAAAGGGCCACTACAGACACCCAAACCACTTCATCTCATTGAAGTGGTCTGGGTGCAATATCTCCCTTTTTAGATTACTTTGCAGGACTAAGACTGCCTCTAGTGACTGTCTATCAAACAGCCAAGAGAGGCACTTCCTGGTTTCTAATGGAGTTTCACTCCATTAAAACGACGCTGGACGTCCTCATGCTCTGCATGAGGACATCAGGTGTCAGTGAAATCCCAATAGGAAAGCATTGTGGCAATGCTTTCCTATAGGGAGGGCCTAATGCGCTCACCATGCATGCACATTAAGTCCGTCCCCGTCCTCCCCCCGGCGCTGGAATTCGATAAGTAAATAAAATTTATTTTTATCCCTTTATGTGCTACGGGGGAGTGGGGCAGAGGGCGCTATAATATTAGGAATACAGGTTTGTATTCCCCAACACTATATATAATCCCTTTAAGTGTTTAGAAAATACTTTAGTAATACGTGTAAATAGAAACTACCACCCTGTGATTTTCCCCATTTTGCTTCCAGCTGACGTGGTAGAGGTTAACACAGTGAAGGAGTTTTAGCATGCGTGGGATAGGCATAAGGCTATCCTAACTATAAGATAAGGCCAGGGACTAATGAAAGTATTTAGAAAATTGGGCAGACTAGATGGGCCAAATGGTTCTTATCTGCCATCACATTCTATGTTTCTACAACTACTACAGCAGACTGCAGTGGTTATAGTGCTTAGATTAACCTTTTAAGCACTTGTGCATTATTACTGTTTTGCAGCGAAACCTACAAACCAATTTTCATGGAACTTGTGACATGCAAACAACTGCAGCAAGGTGCCCAACCTGATATCTACAGTTCACCTGCCTATAACAAACAAAACAATGGGCACAACAGGAGATTAATCAATGTAGAAAAACAAAAAAACAAGTGCTTAGCTAAAGAGTATAGTTTTTATAGCATCTTAAAGAAACTATCAATTGTTATTATGGTTTGTTTATGACACCTCTAATCAGGTGAAGACCGGTCCATTGAAATTAAAAAGTGTTTTGGTAATTTCTCTACCTACACCATCAGTAATTAATGTAACAGATACACAACACCCTCCAAAGCTTCATGTAGAAAGCACAGTAGGATATTAGTACTTGTTCTACTGAAGGATTTTCAAAGTGAAAGGTATCTTGAACTTAATGAAATCTGTGCAACAAAGACCGTGAAGTCAATTAATCATAAAATGTAAACTAAAGCTGGTTTCACTTCCTAAAGGACTTAATAGCCTGATAAAATAAAGAAACGGTTTTATTTGATTGCAAGCTCTTGTGTCCAGAACCTAAAGTATATTTTGTAATGCCTTGTTTGTGTTTTTTTCCAGCTGGCTACAAATGTGCTGGCTTATAACTCCCATCATTCTGCCGGCATGGTCAAGAATGATAGGGGTTGCAGGTCACAGACAAGTAACAAAATAAAAAAAATAGAGAGATATTGATGTGCAAAAGACCACTTTGTCAACCACCTCTTTTTAAAGGTTTATGCAAATCAGAAAACAACACCTTTAGGTCAGTTTGCAACTAAGGTATTGTATCGGAGCTGCCTTGGTGGGTGTTTATAGACATCAACTTTCTTTTTCAAGTGAACAACATATGCATGTTTCGCCATATGGATTCAGAAAAGGAGATAAACACTGGTTATCGTTTGTATCAAGTCACTATATAGCATGTCAAGGATTATATGTAAATCCATCACACTGGAAAAAAAAATAAAAATACAAAAATAGATGCAGAGTGGATTTATGCGTACGTAAACAGTTGTCAAACCTGTACAGGTCCTACGTTTGGTATCTGGGCATTTATTTGTCAAAAAATAAAAAGCTTTATTGTGGTGACTTTACAATGAAGAGATATTTTGAACAATCTTTTGAGTAGTGGTATATTGTTCGCCCTCAAAGACTGCTCTTGTCTTAAGTTGCACTGACGTAAATGTACAGATTGAATGCTGACTCTATAGAATTCAATAGAAATTTATTTTATTTTTTTAATAATCACACCCATCACCTACAAAACTTGTATTACAGCAAAATCGGTCCTTTTTGCCAAGGGCATAATATGCAATGGCAAAAAAAAAAAAAGATTAATTAAATATTGACGTAAACCAGGGCTTAAAATTTCAATCCCTCAGCTTCTAGCCAGGCCTTATAAGTTACTTGCCACTGCAAGCCTAGAAAGTCAATGGAGTACTCAACAGGGCAGACTGGCTGTAATGGACTGTGCGTAGACGTGGAAATATCATAAAATGTACAGAAATCTATTTATTACTATATGAAGCAGCACACATAACATTGAAATTACTTTTAAAGGTGAAAGTGGATATGAAACTAGAGGTGTCCCTAACAGGGTTATTCACTCATTCGCTAAACATGTAATTTTGAACTGTTTAATTTATGCAAATCAGGTAATGTAGCCTCAATTTTGCCATTCTTAAACACTACAATGTTCAAATGGACTTGCTAAAACCAGAGGATTTCCTCCCCTCGATCAGTGTTTATAGTCCCCTTTGAAAACCAAAATGTATGAGAGACTTTGCATACATCCGCAGTGTTTAATGAACTATAAAATATGACAAAACCACAAAATATATTCGACCAGTTTAGGCACACAAGTTAACTTTCTAAGGCAAGCACTGAAGGCCAGGTTGTGCGATTTATATGTATGATGCAACACACCTGCGCTTCAGCCATGTGTGCAACATCATATGTACCATATGCATTGTGCATTCTAAGCAACTACGATGAAAATTATACCACGCACTCAAACATGGACGTAAACATGAAAAACGTGACATAACGACCTTAACTCACATCCATTTTTACAGAACAAAAATATATAAATCTGGCCAGAGTCTCAAAAAGGACATTCCCCCATATTTCCCCGTACTGGCGCTCACACAGTGGTATAAAAAAAAGTCTTGTAAGATATGAGAATGTACATAACCACCTCAACAAAGTCACTTCTTTAGGGTTTAGTAGCTTTGCCTTATATAAATCCTGCATTGTTATAAAAATACAGCCATTTTCTCCCAGAATTCATCTGTTTTGGTAGGTTCAAAGCCGAGCATTTATACTGCTGTCAAGCACATACATAGGGGCTGAGTGCTATATTATATGCCATTTGTTTGTTTAAATAGTGCGCATAGTTTTTAGAACACTTTTCCACCCCCTCAAACACTGCAGTCAGCAGAATTGGCCTTACTCTCCATTCCAGTATCCCAGGGAGAGGATGCAGAGGAATTTGGTAACCCAGATAAAAAGGAGCCAGGCTAGCATCTGCAAGGCATTAAGTGAGCCATGTGATTTGTAAGAAATGGGGAGGGGGAGAAATGGGATAACTGTAAACCACAAAATCTACCCCCTTCCCCTTTGAACTCTGGGGAATATAAACAATACACTTTCCCCCATTTAGCTTTAACCCTCACAGCACCAGTCATATTTTAAAGTGTACATTCAAAAGAAAGCTAATTGCAAAAATCATTTAAAAAGAAAAATTCTGAGGTAAGACTTATGAAGTTAGCAGTCGTAAAGTAAAAGTTATCGGGCAATCCTCAGAGGGAGCAATGGAGAAAAGCTGTTTGTAAGTAGCATAACATACACAGCAATTGTGAATTCCGATGATCTGCTTCATCTATTCATTAAAAGCTCAACGTCTTAAACAGACTATTATTGCTGTCTTAGTGTAATGGGAAAAGCTTTCATAATAAATGCATCACCATCAGCCAAAAACAACATAAAACAAAACAAAATACATTGCTAGAGGAAAGCCTTTCTAACATAGCGCAAGAGTAACTATAAATATCAGGAGATCGAGAAAGCACATCCGCAAAGCATTGAAAAATGTATATTTGTAAAACCCCAACACTGGCCATAGAACTGTGCAATGAGTGATGTATGAAATCCAGAATTCAACAGCTCATGAAAAGAAAGTCGCTTCTACCAAACAAAAATTGTTCAATGCTAATTTAACCTTTAGTGGGCCATGACAAAGATTGAATCTTAGTTCAAACAGGGTTAGATATGTTTTCACAAAATAAAACGAATACATACATATACAAAAAAATAAAAATAAAAACACATTTGGGAAGACTTTGAAAGTTTTTAGAATTTTGGTGTCTAGCAAACTAGAGACCACTATTCTCCAACCCTCTCTTCATTTGAACCAATGTGACCTGCCATAGGGCATACAGCATTTTCTTATGATAAATACATTTAAAAAAAAAAAAAAAAAACTTACAGGGCAGGCATTCAAATGCAGAGGTGGACACACGTTGGTGAACTGGTCTTGTTTAAATCTACTGTCAGCACTCTTGCGGTCAGATGAAATACATAGAGCCAGTCAAATCATGAGCCCGATCCAAGTCCTGTTTATTTTTACATAGCTGCCTTTATGTCCTAATGTATCTATTTACAGCTCCAACATATACCATAGCGCAGAGTACACTGCAATTTTGCTATATCTATATTGCCAAGATTCCATTGCAAACTCTACAGCAGATTAAGGTATTTTGAGTTAAACTGCAACCCCTACTCACAACAACCATCTGGTTAACACAGAGGATTGTTAGAGGGCTGTACGTCGAACGTTCTATTTAATGCTGTACCTTAGCTCCCAACACTCTGCCTAGTTATCCAAATCTAATGTGATACATATGCCATATTTTACATTCACTCATCCAATATAGAGGATACCAAAAAGGTCAGCATCTTAATCATTGCTCAAAATACATTCTTGATTAGAGTGGATTAATACATTGTCAACACAAACAGCATACTACACATCACGTGGAAACCCTGTGAAACATTGTATTATTCACACTATGAGAGTTCCATTGTCAGTGACACAATCCTGTCATGTCAATGGCATCCTTCCACCTCACAAAAAAAAAAAAAAAGAAAAAAAAAAAAATAGTCCAATTGAACACAAAAACAATTAAAATGGATTTAAATACCTCAAGGGCTGCTAAACACAAAAAAAACATAAACATGAGCCTTTGATCTATTTTTTTGTGCTTTGTTCTGTCAATCTCCTTATAGTTTAAACCACTAAAAGGTACAATAAAAATAACTTTATTGATATTTCTTATGGCTTACAACAATCATAATCATTGCGGTCTGCCTTTAATTTACATTACAAAGCTTTCAGCAAATCCGATTTCTGTATTAATTTATTCCAGAATATTGTACAGTATTATGATGGAAATGGCTTCGCTGTAGTCAGTTCATTGTAATTCTACATTTGGCTCAAGACCCTGACTGCTCTCTCATTTGCTTTGATCATGTAATTCCCTTTGCAGTCCAAGGCTTTTGGAAATATAAGTTGCCCAATAAACTGATCCCTTTAAATGTTGATGTGGTTTTTCATTTAACTTTAATCCACTGATGATTAAAATTCCTTCTGCCACAAAAAAAAAAAAGAACCATTTCACTACTGGATGTGAATGAGAAAAGAAAGTAAACCCAAAGTTGGTAGAGACTATGTAAAATTGTATAGTAAATTATTGGAGGGCTGACTTTTTCTACACCACAATAGATGGGCAAGAAAGGGCATTTATCTAAATAATTACATTGTATACTGCTGTAGCAATGGTATACCTTTAAGATTATTTTAAAATAAATAAATTTAAAAAGCACAATTGACTAAGTATCAAGTAAAAACAATTCAATGATGATTGATCTTAGTACAATAATTTAGAGGAAAAAAATAGAAATAAAATAAACAAGCAAACAAACAAAAAAAAAATAATGAAAACTAATAAGGGTATGGGGTGAGATAGCAGTACATTTTGAAGAATGTATGTATAAGTAGAAGGACTGATGGAGTAATGGGTATTTATCTCCATTAGGAGGTGTGGGTTTGTTTTGGTTACCCCATAAACACAAATATTAAGGCTTTTATCTTACCTCCAATGGGGGCAGGTCAGGATCCAGTTGGGTGAAGCTGCTGAGGACTACAGGACTGCTGTCCCCAGCCACTTCCAGCTTCACCCCATCCCACAGGCTTCTCATCTTCCTGGACCCCTCAAACATCTTTTCAGGGGTGCTTGCCTTGTCATGTTGAGGCTCCAGCAACATTAGGTAAATCATGGGTACAGATAGGGCATCCTTAGCCCAGCATGTCCAGGGGTGTAAGGGTGGGTCAGCTGTGTGCCAGGCAGGTTGGGGTCTCTCCCCGGCAGGCAGGTAGAGGCATGGAGCTGTGATCACTGTTCACTCTGAGCTCTCTCTGTATAGCTGGGGCAGGAGTACGGATTTCCATTCACAGGCAGCACGAAGGACACGCCCACACAGTGATACGGCGGTGATGTCACTGCTCCGAGCAGGGAAAGTTAGAGAGGGGCGGTTCTAAAGCGCAGACCGGGTCTGAATGACGCGCGGTCTATTTGCATAACCCCTCCCCCAGCTCAGAGTGTGCAGCAGGTTACAGTAGAGGGAGAGCGTGAACTGTGTGTTTGGAATCCTCCCAGTGTTTGTGCTTGTGTCTCTCTATGGGGCACACTTCACATTCTGTTACTGGTACATACAGCCATTTACTGATATACTGTGTATCAATCTATCGCAGAGCTCCATAGCAATACAGCTCACAGCTCCATTACTGTATCAATCTATCACAGAGCTCCATAGCAATACTGCTCACAGCACCATTACTGTATCAATCTATCGCAGAGCTCCATAGCAATACAGCTCACAGCTCCATTACTGTATCAATCTATCACAGAGCTCCATAGCAATACTGCTCACAGCTCCATTACTGTATCACTCTATCACAGAGCTCCATAGCAATACAGCTCACAGCTCCATTACTGTATCAATCACAGAGCTCCATAGCAATAGAGCTCGCAGCTCCATTACTGTATCAATCACAGAGCTCCATAGCAATACAGCTCACAGCTCCATTACTGTATCAATCTATCACAGAGCTCCATAGCAATACAGCTCACAGCTCCATTACTGTATCAATCTATCACAGAGCTCCATAGCAATACTGCTCACAGCTCCATTATTGTATCAATCACAGAGCTCCATAGCAATACAGCTCACAGCTCCATTACTGTATCAATCTATCACAGAGCTCCATAGCAATACTGCTCACAGCTCCATTACTGTATCAATCTATCACAGAGCTCCATAGCAATACAGCTCACAGCTCCATTACTGTATCAATCTATCACAGAGCTCCATAGCAATACTGCTCACAGCTCCATTACTGTATCAATCTATCACAGAGCTCCATAGCAATACTGCTCACAGCTCCATTACTGTATCAATCTATCGCAGAGCTCCATAGCAATTAGCAATACAGCTCACAGCTCCATTACTGTAACAATATATCACAGAGCTCCATAGCAATACAGCTCACAGCTCCATTACTGTAACAATATATCACAGAGCTCCATAGCAATACAGCTCACAGCTCCATTACTGTAACAATATATCACAGAGCTCCATAGCAATTCAGCTCACTGCTCCATTACTGTAACAATATATCACAGAGCTCCATAGCAATACAGCTCACAGCTCCATTACTGTAACAATATATCACAGAGCTCCATAGCAATTCAGCTCACTGCTCCATTACTGTATCAATATATCACAGAGCTCCATAGCAATACAACTTACAGCCTCATAGCTTTATTACTGTATCAATATATCACAGAGCTCCATAGCACTACAACTTACAGCCTCATAGCTCCATTACTGTATCAATATATCACAGAGCTCCATAGCAATACAACTTACCGCCTCATAGCTCCATTACTGTATCAATATATCACAGAGCTCTAAGACGATAGCAAACTCAGAAACACAACCCTAGACCTAACTAAGAGGGTAATTAAAACACACCTCTGAAGTCTGCCCACTATAAAGTTAACTTCTACAGCCAAATATCATAAGCAACGGTATTAGGGACCTACGATCTCGCATCTGAACGATATGACCATATGATACATCTTGCCACGAGATCTGTGAGTGTCCCTACCATTGAAGCTTACACAGAGATTTGCATATCTCAATGTATACTAAGCACCTATGAGTATAAGAAACCTGCGAGTTTCATAACGTATATTAACTTATTGCATTTTACAACATGAAAAACCCATAATAAAGAAATTTACAAAAAAAAAAGTATATCACAGAGCTCCATAGCCATTAGCAATACAGCTCACAGCTCCATTACTGTAACAATATATCACAGAGCTCCATAGCAATACAGCTCACAGCTCCATTACTGTAACAATATATCACAGAGCTCCATAGCAATACAGCTCACAGCTCCATTACTGTAACAATATATCACAGAGCTCCATAGCAATTCAGCTCACTGCTCCATTACTGTAACAATATATCACAGAGCTCCATAGCAATACAGCTCACAGCTCCATTACTGTAACAATATATCACAGAGCTCCATAGCAATTCAGCTCACTGCTCCATTACTGTATCAATATATCACAGAGCTCCATAGCAATACAACTTACAGCCTCATAGCTTTATTACTGTATCAATATATCACAGAGCTCCATAGCACTACAACTTACAGCCTCATAGCTCCATTACTGTATCAATATATCACAGAGCTCCATAGCAATACAACTTACCGCCTCATAGCTCCATTACTGTATCAATATATCACAGAGCTCTAAGACGATAGCAAACTCAGAAACACAACCCTAGACCTAACTAAGAGGGTAATTAAAACACACCTCTGAAGTCTGCCCACTATAAAGTTAACTTCTACAGCCAAATATCATAAGCAACGGTATTAGGGACCTACGATCTCGCATCTGAACGATATGACCATATGATACATCTTGCCACGAGATCTGTGAGTGTCCCTACCATTGAAGCTTACACAGAGATTTGCATATCTCAATGTATACTAAGCACCTATGAGTATAAGAAACCTGCGAGTTTCATAACGTATATTAACTTATTGCATTTTACAACATGAAAAACCCATAATAAAGAAATTTACAAAAAAAAAAGTATATCACAGAGCTCCATAGCCATTAGCAATACAGCTCACAGCTCCATTACTGTATCAATATATCACAGAGCTCCATAGCAATACAGCGCACAGCTCCATTACTGTAACAATATATCACAGAGCTCCATAGCAATACAGCTCACAGCTCCATTACTGTATCAATATATCGCAGAGCTCCATAGCAATACAGCTCACAGCTCCATAACTGTATCAATATATCGCAGAGCTCCATAGCAATAAAGTTCACTGCTCCATTACTGTATCAATATATCACAGAGCTCCATAGCAATACAACTTACAGCCTCATAGCTTTATTACTGTATCAATATATCGCAGAGCTCCATAGCAATACAACTTACAGCCTCATAGCTCTATTACTGTATCAATATATCACAGAGCTCCATAGCAATACAACTTACCGCCTCATAGCTCCATTACTGTATCAATATATCACAGAGCTCCATAGCAATACAACTTACAGCCTCATAGCTCTATTACTGTATAAATAAACTCCCTCTAGAATGTAAGCTCACTGAGCTGGGCCCTCCACCTCTCTGTTCCTGTACATCCAGTTGTCTGGTTACAGTTACATGTCTGTTAGTCCACCCCATTGTACAGCGCTACGGAATCTGATGGCGCTATATAAATAATAAAATAATAATAATAATAACTTACAGCCTCATAGCTCCATTACTGTATCAATATATCACAGAGCTCCATAGCAATACAACTTAAAGCCTCATAGCTCCATTATTGTATCAATATATTACAGAGCTCATAGCAAAACAATTTACAGCCTCATAACTCCATTACTGTATCAATATAACATAGAGCTCCACAGCAATACAGCTCACAGCTCCATTACTGTATCAATATATCAAAGAGCTAAACAGGAATCCAATTCACAGCTCCATTGCTATAAGAATATATCACAGAACTCCATAGCCTCAGAGCTCCAAAACTGTAGGAATACATCACAGAGCTCCATCGCAATACAGCTCACAGCCTCAGTAATATGCAGGGTGTGGAAGTATATCGCAGAGCTCCATAGAAATACAGCTTACATTTTTATTAACGAGCAGTGTGTGGGAACATGTCACAGAGCTCCATAACAATACAGCTCACAGCCTCAGCAAAGTAATGTGTAGGAATTTTGATCCATATCAAAACACTGTTTAAAATTGTATTACAGGATTCTACAGCAATAAAACCCGCAGTTGCAGGCAGCATGTATGACTTTATCACAGGGCCCCACAGCAATATAACACTGTGCATGCAGTGCGGTGTTTATGAGTGTATTGCCAGGCTCTACAGCAGTAAAACTCACAACAGGCAACTAACATATCACAGACTTCCAAAGCAGTAAACCTCACCGTTATGTGCCATGTGTCTGAATGTATGGTAGTACTGTGTAGTTTGTAAATGTTTGTATAAAGCTCCACAGCAATAAAACTCACAGTAATAAGCAGCATATAGTTTTATCACAGAGCTCCAGAGCATTATAATACACAATAATGGGTATGGGTATTCAAAGTAATAAAAGTATCCAGTAAAGTGTTGGGTGTAAACTGGGGTGTGTCAGTCTGTCACAGAATGAACATGCATGATGTATACATGTATCAGAGTGCTCAATAGTGATAAAGCTCACAAGCTAGTGGAACATTATATCAGGGCTTGACAAATTTGCTTTGAGTCTAGGAGCCAGCTGAAAAAGTTAGGAGCCAGTTTTTCTTATGTAAGAAAGAAAAGCTTAATTTTCAGTGACAAAAATACAATTCTTCAAGGGACACTACAGTCACCAGAACCACTGGTGCAGTGTCCCATCACCCTTAACCCCTTAAGGACACATGACATGTGTAACATGTCATGATTCCCTTTTATTCCAGAAGTTTGGTCCTTAAAGGACCACTATAGGCACCCAGACCACTTCAGCTTAATGAAGTGGTCTGGGTGCCAGGTCCAGATAGGATTAACCCTTTTTTTTTTTATAAACATAGCAGTTTCAGAGAAACTGCTATGTTTACACTGAGGGTTAATTCAGCCTCTAAAGCCTCTAGTGGCTGTCTCATTGACAGCCGCTAGAGGCGCTTGCGTGCTTCTCACTGTGAAAATCACCCTCAGGGCACTATAGTGCCAGGAAAACGAGTATGTTTTCCTGGCACTATAGTGGTCCTTTAAGGGGTTAAAGGACCACTATAGGCACCCAGACCACTTCAGCTCAATTAAGTGGTCTGGGTGCCAGGTCCAT